TAAACCTACCCATAACCGAAGTGTGTTATATTGACGCTAAAGGGTGCCATGTGCGTCGGATGTATACGCATTGTCAAAAGCGTCACTATATGACGCCTTAGGATGAGAATGCGTTGGCTCTACAGAAGGCGATATCAGGTCAATGTTGATTCAGCTCAGTTCAATAACAGTGTCAATGTTACAAAGTTAGTGTCATTATCCAGCCTAATTATCCAGACAGTGTTGTTAAAGGTTGGGTAGGCAAAATGAGTTCTCTTTAAAATCACTTATTAAACTGCAATGCATAAAACAAATGCAAATGATAATCTTTCGTGACCACTCACTCATCACATCAATGTCACATGAGCATAACCGCGATAGAGTCGAAAGTCCAAAATTTCTACCGGTTGACAAATATCACTTACCCCTACTTCTATTATTAATTACCATCACTATGTGAAAAGAGTTTCAACAAGTATAACAATACTGTTTCTGAAAAACATTGCCTGCCCTATCTTTAAATCTATAATAGTACTAAATATTAATTGGATTTTAATGTGATGATTGCTATCTTAAGACATTCCCATCTTTGCTGTTTTTTAAATTAATTCCAATGTTTTCCAACTGTACGTCTATGAAAAATCATATTGTTTTTGTTTTGTGCATATTTGACTGTTATGTGTTTGACTGGGAAATTTGTTTAGAAAATGTTTTAATTTTTTATTTATTTTTATTCATTTTTGTTTATTTTGTCTTAATTTTAAGCAATGTTGTTTACTGTTTCCATTTGAATCTTAAAAGGAAAACAGTGTTGAATATTTCATTTATTAATGATCTTTTCTCCTCAGAATTAAGGAAGTTGTGAAACACCGTTAGTATAATGGTGCTTGTTGCAACAGGGTGTTATTCCCACATATTTGAGCATGTGGAATGGGAAGACCGGACTGTGGGAGGACTAGAATGTGGCCTGATTAGCCTAGACTAGTCTTCCAAATGTAAACAACACTGTCACCAGAATAAAGATGTTTTTATGTAATGTTCTTCCACAGCCATTGTGGTTAGAAACCATTTCTGAAATGGCCCATAAATATTTTTTCATCCAAACGACCGCGAGCTGATTTTCCGTTCTGATAATTCATAGATAGGGTTACAATGCACAATTCATTTCACAAGCGTGTTGTAAAGAGCCCAGTCTAAGACAACATTCAGAATTTGAGTTTGTTTTACAAGGAGGGATGTCAAACTCACCCCATTTTTATTGTCATTGTCAATGTCAATCTCATGCCATATAGGTTCATACTATAGGCTTGTATTCAAACAAAGACTATTATTAAAGTGCCAACCTTAGGTTGGTAATATGTTACTTTTCTTATTATTAATCTGGCTGAGCCAAAATGGCAGCCATTAGAACTGCTTAAAAGAAAGTTTCAAACAATTTTCCAGGAAAAATGTAGACCTATTGAAAGAATGTCTGTATCATTATGTTCTGAAGTATTTGAGAAGTTTGGGGACAGCACCACCTACTTCAAGGAATATTCCACTTTTTTTTTTTTAAATAGGCTCATTTTACAACTCAAAGTTAAACAGCTGGGTTTTAACGTTTTCGAATCTATTCAGCCGATTTTCTGATATTTACATGTAGAAGAATATCAGTAACCAGACAGTTTCTGGTCTCATTGACTACCATAGTAGGAAAAAAATATACTATGGATGTCAATGAAACCAGAGACTGTCTGGTTACTGACATTCTTCAAAAATTTCAGAAAATCGGCTGAACGGATTCAAAAACGGTAAAACTCAACTGTTTAACTTTGGGGGAGTTGTAAAATGAGCCTTTTTCAAAAAAAAAAAGTGGTGTATCCCTTTAATATAACAATACCAGCTTTTACTTGGTTGGTCAGGAGGACTACACATAGATATATACACTAGATATCACCTTGGCTACGGCGGTTGATTAGAACGAATGCGTCAATAGAGCCGCCATCTTGAAACAGGGGAGCCCCTCCACTTTAATGCATCAGCGTCAATGTAGACAAAGGTCTAACGGAAATAAAATCATCATGCGATTTTCTCGGGGTTTTTTTTTTGGTTCGTTCCAACAGTCAGGCATGTATCTATCATTGATTCCAGAAAAAAATTATTTAAAGTTTAGATTTCGTTTGTGAACATCATACGCAGCACAAAAGTCCGCCACTATCAATTAAAGGGTTAGTTCACCCAAAAATGAAAATTCTGTCAGTATTTACTCACCCTCATTTTTTTCCAAACCTCTATGTGTTTATTTGTTCTGCTATACACAAAAGAAGATATTTGGAAGAATGTTTTAATCAAACAAATCTCATTCCCCATTGACTACCATAGTAGGAAAAATACATACTATGGTAGTCAATGGGGAATGAGATCTGTTTGATTAAAACATTCTTCCAAATATCTTCCTTTTTGTTCAGCAAAACAAATAAACACATAGAGGGTTGGAACAACATGAGGGTGAGTAAATACTGACAGAATTTTCATTTTTTGATGAACTAACCCTTTAATTCGAAGTAAAGGTAGAGATAGCAGCGTTACCTTGCTACGTCCTATGACAAGACCCCTGTTCCAAGATGACGGCGGTTTTGACGCATGCTTAGAACCCGAGGTGACGTCTAGTGTATATATATATGAGGACCACACTTGGTTCGCATCATCAACACTGTTTTGGGATTGGTGATCGCTTTTTTCTATTCCTATAAATCCTAAAATTTAAATCCAGTCCTGCTTAAAATCAATGATATTCAGAGCACGCTAGACAAAAAATAGGAGAAGCAGCATTTTAATGCTTGTGTAATGTCCTCATCTTGAAATGTGTCATTAGCAGTGTGCGGTGGTTGAAGATCTGGGCTGTGTCCCAAATCGCCCCCTATACTCTTAAATAGGGCACTATTTGAAGGGACAGGCATTTGTAGTGGTATCCGAAACCACAGCGGACGATATCGAGTGCACTCATTCAATCCCACAATGCACTGCAATAACGAGTGTACAACCGATGTACGCGCAAAGGCTTGAGAACACCCATCGCGCGCCGAATGAATTCCCGCGTCTCGCCAGAAGATGACGCTTGCAGCTGAATCATACAGTGGTCCAATGTGGGTACAGTGTAATATCTAACAGGTATACATTTATTTTTAATTGATAATTGAATTCTTTAATTATGATGTATAAATGTTTCCATGACAGAGTTCGGGATAAATCTTTTCATCTTACTATTGGAGTGGCTAGTTTGCTTATTATGATTATTAAACGGCAAGCACAAACTATGCAAAAGCGGCAGACTTTCCGGCTCACCCAGTGTCCAAATTCACTCACTCGTTTTCATTCACTCCCTCAAGTGAACTATAATAGTGGACTAATGTAGGGAATAGTTTTCGGACACAGCCCTAGATTGCTGGTTTGAACCGTCCATGATGCAACCCAGTTTTTCATTTTATGTAAGATCCTTTTGGTCCAAAGCACTTCATCCAGGTTCATTTTCATGCATTACAGCAGATAAATGTTGTAAACGATAAGTGTAAAGAAATACTGCCACTTGTAAAGGGATAGTTCACCCAAAAATGGATTCTGTCAGTAATTATGTCTTTCTAAACCAATGAGACTTTCGTTCATCTACAGAACAGAAATGAATCTCTCATCATTTTTTTGTCCATCCATTGAAAGTCCACTCAACCAATATTTTCCACACAAAAGTACAAAAAAACTATGTAAAAGTAGTCCATATGGAGAGTTGAGTAGTTTAATCAAAGTTTTGTGAAGAGACTCGATCGCTTTATATGATGAACAGATTCAATTTGGGCTTTTATTTACACACAGAGAGCTCAATCAGAAGCTAAAACATGCTTGATGTGAATAAAAGCCTAAATCGTGAATAAAAATCTGTTAATGATATATCGTGCGATTGTGTTTCTTTGATTAAACCTCTCGATTCATACGAATTACTTTAACAATGCCTTTATGAACCTTTTTTGAAAATTTAGCTTGAATATTCTTTCAATGGAGAGACAGAAATTATGAGAGAAGATAAAAAAAAATGTGTTCTGAAGATAAAAGTCATACAGGTTTGAAATGGCATGAGGGCAAATGATGATAGAATTGTCTTTTTCTGGGTTAACTATCACTTTAATAAATGTTTTTGTGCTTTTTCTCCCTGAATATGCATGTTTATTTATGCAAAACAAACACAAATCTCAAAAATGTCTTCACAGAAAGGTGTTATACTGTTTTTTTTTTTGGGGGACAAATGCTTCACCTCATCGTTTGTTTAAATAAGGAGTGGAAGGTGTGTTTCCAAGGCAAATGAATACATTAGATGCACCAAAAACAAACCAATAAAATTGAACAAAGCCTCTTCATTTTACTATCAGCTTTTTATCACTCATTGGTTGTCTCATTTTCATTCCAGGAATTTCTCTCTGAAGCAGGGAGTGTCTGCATACAAAATGCTCTGCAGTTTTCTGCTTCATAGGTCAGACACTGGTTTATCTTGTTTCTGTGGCTATGCTCACTCCCATCAAAATTTGTGCAAATTTGTATAAGAATTTGCTTGCATCATTCGGATGAGAGATATAGACCCCCCCCCTATAGACTGGAATAAATATTAAAGCAAATGCCCATTTATTTTGAAGGTCAGAGCTGTAGATTTCCAATGTATGCTTAAATAAAACCCAAGACATGCGAGGATATTATGGCTAGCGGGCTGTGCGTAATGTCTTGGAGAGTGATGTCATGGCCTAACTCTACATGAAATGCTTGTTTTTCTTTTTTCACAGATGTTATTCAGCATGATCGTTTTGCTCCCGTTGTTCGTTTATTTATTTCCACAGCATTTCAACTGCTTTTTGACATTTGCCCGAATGATAGATAATGCGGCGCTCTGTAAAAGATAAACAAAACTTGAAAAACAGCGAGAAATGTCTTGTCTTGACTGGGACTGTTGGCTCATGTTGATACCGATGCCTTTACTCACTGTTTAATTGTACACACTACAGATGTGTCGTCCGCCTCTTCTGCTATGAGCACGGGGAGTCCTCGCAGTGCTTTTCCCACCTCTTCCACCTCAGCTTCAGAACGGATCGCCGGGAATGACAGCGGCACGCCTGGAGATGTTTGCGGTCGGAGGAAAGCCGAGGTGCTGGCTGCGGAAAACAAGCTTTCCGGCAGGGTTTGTGGAGATAAAGGTGGCCAGCAGACCCAGATGACACCCTCCAAACGGCCTGTCCTCAACATCTCGCCTCCACCCGAGGACCTGTTCGACGACAGCAACATGTCCTGCCAGGATGAGCTGCTTCTCGACTCAGAGCAGAGTAACAGCATCTGGATGGAAAACTCAGTGTCTAACTTCAGCATTGTGAGCTCCAGCTCTTATAATGACAACACTGAAGTGCCCCGCAAGGCCCGTAAGTGTACCCCCCGACAGAAGCCGGGGTCAAAGCCGGTCGCCGCTGAAGAGGCCAGCATGGATGTCTTTGACGCAGACAGTGCCAAAGGTCCACACTTTGTGCTCTCACAACTTGGCCCAGACAGCAAGACCTGTTCCAAAGCCAGGTGAGACATTTAGTGCCATGGGATACTTTGTGCGCTTGTTGGAGATTGGTGTGAAGAACCTAAAATGTTTGAAGGAGCTGTATGCAATAAATTTATTCAATTATTCATAAATTTTTCCTGCTGTGTCACTAGACATTAAAGGGCACCTATTATGCCCCTTGAGTGAAGTGAGTGAAGAGTGAGTGAGTGAGTGAGTGAAGAGTGAGTGAAGAGTGAGTGAGTGAGTGAAGAGTGAGTGAGTGAGTGAAGAGTAAGTGAGTGAGTGAGTGAGTGAAGAGTGAGTGAGTGAAGAGTGAGTGAGTGAGTGAAGAGTGAGTGTGTGAGTGATTGAGTGAGTTAGTGAGTGAGTTAGTGTGTTAGTGAGTGAGACAGTGAGTGAGTGAGACAGTTAGTGAGTGAGTGAGTGAGTGATTGAGTGATTGAGTGAGTGAGTGAGTGAGTGAGTGAGACAGTGAGTGAGTGAGTGAGTGTTGACAGAATTTTCATTTTTGGATGAACTAAAGGTACAAAAACCCAATTATCTTTCGACCAGACTGATCTCATGAAGTAGCGTGTGTATGACACGCCAATTCGTATTGCCATTTTTGGCGTGCTATCAAGACGGATAATCGCTTTTCAGTGTGTTTATGAACGCCGTTGACTTAACGTTATTACTGTATATATAAATATATGACTTACCTCAACCCCGTCCCTAAACCTAACCGTCACTGGGGTTAATGGCATTTATGACTGTTCCCTCACCATCCTAGGAAAAAAAAAGATCGCTCCCCAGATGTAGATCTACATTTTGCTTAGTTTCACACGGACATTTGACGGCGTGTACAGACACGCGGAATCACTCGGACGTTAATGGCGTAGACATACACGCATACACGCGGATAGCTCAAAATGCGTAGAGATATGCCTATGTTTACGCAAAAGTCATGATGTCATGTTGCTTTCGACTGATGTTCACCAACAAACCTTGTTTCATAGCTCTGATGGACCTCAAGCATCTGGTCTCAAAGGCGGGATACTGTCTTGTCAGTATCCTCAGAAAAGTGAAGGGAAAGAACTGAAGATTGTGGTGCAGCCCGAGACTCAGCATAGAGCGCGTTACCTGACCGAAGGCAGCCGTGGGTCTGTGAAAGACCGAACACAGCAGGGTTTCCCTACTATCAAGGTGGGTAACACAGACTTACAGTTACCTACAGTTGTTGTCTCTTTAGGGAAAGTTGCAACACAAATGAATCTCCCTTTAAAGGAGTTGTTCACTTTTAAAAAAACCTTTTGCTGATAATTTACTCACCCCCATGTCATCCAAGATGTCCATGTCTTTCTTTCTTCAGTCGAAAAGAAATTAAGGTTTTTGATGAAAACATTCCTGGATTTTTATACATATAATGGACTTCAATGGGAACCAAACAGTTCAAGGTCCAAATGAGAGTTTCAGTGCAAATTGCAAACTGTTCAAAGGTCGCTTTGCTCTGTTCTGTGTTGCGCGTTCGTGACTCTCCTGTTCAAACTAGTTTCGCTTGATAAGACCCTTGAATCGTTTAAAGCCCTTTAAACAGTTTGCAGTTTGCACTGAAAATGTCTTTTGGACCTTGAACCGTTTGGTTACCAGTAAATTGCATTATATGGAGAAAAATCCTGGAATGTTTTCAATAAAAACCTTAATTTCTTTCCGACTGAAGAAAGAAAGACATGGACATCTTGGATGACATGGGGGTGAGTAAAGTATCAGCAAAAGTTTTTTTTAAAAGTGAACTACTCCTTTAAGATGAGTCTTATGAAATGGTTCTCTTCTCACTTTTCCCTACTGATATACTGTATGCATTGATACTCTGTTAACCACACATTTCTTGATCCTCGCAGCTTGAGGGTGTGAAGGAGTCAGTGGTCCTGCAGATTTTTGTGGCCAATGATGCTGGACGTGTGAAACCCCACGGGTTCTACCAGGCTTGCAGAGTTACAGGCCGGAACACAACTGCCTGTAAGGAAGTGGACATTCAAGGCACAACTGTCATCGAAGTGCCTCTGGATCTCAGCAGCAATATGACTCTGGCGTATGTAAACGTGTCAGCTAGTAGAATTGCACCCCACTTTGAAGCTTTAAATTGTTCATTAAACTTTAAACTGAATATTCAAAAAGAACAACCCCCAGTCTTCTAATCCAGACGCTGTATTGATCAAATTGATATTGATGATGACCAGCTGACAGTCGGGTGTCTTTACAGTGTAGATTGTGTGGGGATCCTGAAGCTCAGGAATGCCGATGTGGAGGCCCGTATTGGGGTGGCTGGATCTAAGAAGAAGAGTACCCGTGCCAGACTGGTGTTTCGAGTCAACATCCCACGCCCCGATGGCTCTGTGCTCACGTTACAGACCTCGTCGTCTCCCATACTGTGCAGTGAGTGGCTTTGGGTTATTCATAGCATCTCCCTGCTGGCGAGCCCAGCTGGTGCTCTCATCACATAGGAGAGGTAGGGATTAGACGGGGGGATAATGAATGTTTATATTATTAAAGCCATAGAGCCAAAAAAAAGGAGGGAGAATGAGTATTAGGCAGAACATCAGGTGCTTACTGTGATGAATTGTACTAAAATTGAATTTCTGTGTCGCCAGCAACTATTCCAGGTTGATTGCAACTTAAGTTCTACTGACACCATCTGTAGCGTCCTGTCAATTGCCACAGAAAATGGTTTTGATTTATCCCTCATTGTGTTAGAAAGGACAGAAAAGACATTTGCCAGGGTTGTTGTTCATTACATTTACATTTATACATTTTGGCAGACGCTTTTATCCAAAGCAACTTACATTGCATTTCAAGGTACACGTTTACATTCTTATCAGTTCTTATTATCTTTAAGTCCAATAATTTCTCTAGAGGTGTTGTTGCATTGACTCAATATAATAGTGCACATGTGGAATAATTGCAATTTATTTGATTACTATGTAATGAGAATTATGTATTAATAATTAACAAGCAAAATGATCTGCCGATGGGGTAAGAAAATTCAGTTTGAAATAAGATTATTATTCTTACCCCATTGGCAGATCATTTTGCTTGTTTTAAGTAAAAACTCACTTCATTTAGATTTTCCTGCCAGAAAACAAGACATAATATCTTATGGCATTTTACTACTTTAGTAAATGCATCTTGATTTTATAATTTTTTGATATTTTGACCGGATACAAGACAAAAATACTAAGAAAATAATGTTTTGCAGTGTTGACGATGTAATTCGCTTATAATGTAACTCTTAAGAAGCAACTGTACCTCCTTGCCTGCTTTTGTAGTCAAATGCACTTCTGGTTATGCATTACCAGCATATAATAAGTGTCCCTTCCTAGTTTCCTTGTGTGGATGCAAAGTAAAAGTATGCAGGTTTTCCACTAGTCACAGGCTGATTTTGCTGTATGGATTTGTTGACCCACATGTAATATCAGATGTGTAGAAACAACATTTTAGTCACAGAAATATTGTTACCTAGCTGTGCATCCTAATGGATTGTTTCTCTCTTTCTCCGATTGGTTTTGTTTTTATAGCCCAGCCTGCAGGAGTACCTGAGATTCTCAAGAAGAGTTTACACAGTTGCTCTGTTAAAGGGGGGAATGAAGTCTTTATTATCGGAAAAAACTTTCTCAAAGGAACCAAGGTCATATTTCAGGGGAATGCTTCAGGTATACTTGCATGTTCAAGGTGTCATAGTCTTTTCCCGCACAACACTTGCACTGTTTAACCTCTGCCTGTTTGATTGTAGCAGATGATAAGTCCTGGAAGGCAGAGGCTGACATTGACATGGAGTTTTTCCATCAGGTAAGCCATAGCATCTGCTGTGTCTATTATTTGACTGTGTGGGATGATCAAGCAATGCAAAAATAGAGGCAGCTTTGCACAGGTCACAGACATCAGTGTCCCCAATTGTTGCCTGACATGAATATGGAAAGAACGGCAGATTGATGACCTAAATACTCAAACAGTACGCAATAAACTTTTTAGTTCTTTTTGAGCTAGTGATTTAAATAGATCTGTTTTACAGTGACTTGTCCTGAAATGTCAGAAGTGATTTTAGTCATTTTCAATGTTTTTTTTTGTTTGTTTTTTTTAAATACTCTATGTACTGCCATATTATACTAATGCAAAGGGACCATCATTTACACAAATGTAGCCAAAAATGGCTTTGAGGAGAAAATAAATCTGGCTAGTGTTGAAATTGCAACAAAATGCATAATCAATTATTTTATTGCAAGAAACACATCTGACTGATTCTGAACACAAGAAATTACAAACTTCACAATTTTCACATATCTTCTTTTCATCTTATAGCTCAAAGAAGAGAGGAGTAGCCATACTTATACGAAAGAACCTAACATTTACCATCAATAAAATAATAACTGACACGGAGGGCAGATATGTCATTATTAACTCTACCATTAACAATAACAATATTACTATTGCCAACATTTATGGACCCAACAATGATGATGAACATTTTTTCCACTCTTTTTTTTCAATATTATCAGGTTTTTCACAATCAGCTTTGATTATAGGGGGAGACTTCAACACAGTTATTAATCCAATACTAGATAAATCTAACACCTCAAATTATAGGAAAACCTGGCACTCTACAGAAATTATAAAACAATATATGACGGATTTTGGACTTGGCGATAACTGGAGACAGAAAAATCCTACAACAAAAGAATATACATACTTCTCTCCAGTGCATAAATCATACTCTCGTATAGATTTTTTCTTAACAAGTAATTCCATTATGTCCAATATTTTAAACACAACGATTGAACCCGTTATAATTTCAGATCATGCTCCAATTACTCTTACTCTTTATAACAACAGAAACGAAAAAAACTCAAATAGATGGCGAATGAACACATCACTACTGCAAGACCCAGAATTTAATGAATATTTTATAAGAGAGTGGAAATCTTTCATTAGCATAAATAAAACCCCTGATATATCCGCTACAACTTTATGGGAGACAGCCAAAGTAGTAATGAGAGGAAATATTATATCATACTCTACGTATAAACATAAAAAAGAGAAAAAATTAGAAAAAGATCTGGAAGATAAAATAAAAATATTACACCAAACTTACTCACAAAACCAAAATGAACAAATATTAAATGAAATAAATCAAACAAAGAATCAACTGGACAGTATTACAAATAAAAAAATAGAATTTTATAAACAACGTTTAAGGTTAATACATTTCGAATATAAGGACAAATCAGGAAAATATTTAGCCAATTTGCTGAAACGTAATAAGGAAAAAACCCATATATCTACAATTAAAAACGAGAATAAAATAATTCATAACCTGCAAGATATCAATACAACTTTTCAAAGATTTTACAAAAATTTGTACAAAAGTGATAAAAAAGAAAATCAAAAAGAGACTGGTAAATTCTTGCACAATATAACACTCTCCAAATTAAGCCTAGCACAGAAAGAAGAATTAGAAAAACCAATAACAGAGGATGAATACAAGAAAGCTCTCTTTGCATTACCAAATAATAAATCACCAGGTTTAGATGGCTTCCCCCCAGAATTTTATAAACATTTTTGGTCAACTATTTCACCACAGTTTTTAGAAATGTCAGCAGACATTAAAAACAGCTCATCTATCCCACCACATATGAACACGGCATTAATTTCTGTTTTACTAAAACCAAATAAAGACCCAACATTATGCACAAGCTATAGACCCATATCCCTGATCAATACTGACATGAAAATAATTAGTAAAACCCTAGCCTCACGGTTAGAAACAGTCATCTCAAGTCTTATTCATCCAGACCAAACGGGATTTATTAAAGGACGTCATTCATCAGACAACATACGTCGCTTATTCAATATAATGAATAACAATAAAACACAAAATACTACAATTATTGTGTCATTAGATGCGGAAAAAGCGTTTGACAAAGTCAATTGGAATTTTCTTTTTGCCGCTTTAGATAAATTCGGTTTTGGAGAGTCATTCGTTCACTGGATTAGAACATTGTATAGTACACCGAAGGCTTCAGTCATCACTAACGACATCATATCACCATCATTCCAGTTGCAACGAGGGACCAGACAAGGATGTCCACTCTCTCCACTCCTTTTTGCAATATTCATAGAGCCCTTAGCAGCCGCAATAAGACAAAACGATAATATCACGGGATATTCAACGGATAAAATCACTCATAAAATCTCATTATATGCTGATGATATTTTATTGTATTTACAAAAACCAGAGAAATCTCTCATAGAAGTTACCAATGTCATTAATAATTTTTCGAAAATATCAGATTACTCTATAAACTGGTCCAAATCTACAATTCTGCCCATAAATAAAACATTACAGTATGTAAAAAACCTAAATACTCCATTTAATATAGGTAATATCACATACCTGGGAATACAGATCTCTCCCAATTTATCTGACTTATTTAAACTTAATTTCATTCCATTACTGAAAAATATAGAAGATGATTTAAAACGTTGGATGAATTTGCCATTATCCCTTATAGGAAGAATTTCTACAATAAAAATGATCATATTACCCAAAATTAATTACCTATTTACAATGATACCAATTCAACCCACTAAGAAATGGCTAGACACATTAAATACAAAAATAAATAAATTCTATTGGAAAAACAAAAAACCAAGAATAAGCATCGCTACATTACAGAAAAATAAAGAGATGGGAGGATTAGGGGCACCCAACTTTTACTATTATTATCTAGCTGCACAATTACAATATCTCTACAAATGGATAAATGGCAATCATATTCACAACTCGTGGTTAGATTTAGAACAGGCAGATTGTAAAAAGATTTCATTATCTGATTTACCACATATTACTGAGGTTATTAAGGCCCATGATCTATACAATAATATGACAATTCGTACAACATTATTAGCATGGTGGAAAAGTAATCATATAACTCATAATTCAATAACACCGCACTCTCTCTCTCCTATATGGCATAACCCAGATTTTACTATTAATAAATGTACACTTAGTAATGAAAAATGGAAAACTGCAGGCATCACACATTTGCATAATGTATTTCTAAATAATAAATTCAAACACTTTTCAGAGTTGACAGAAAAATATAACCTAGGGAAAGATCAGTACTTTTATTACATACAAATTAATCATGCTATCAGATTTAAGATTGGCAATCTTCTTCCTAAATCTCCACCTCTTATTGAAAAAATAAAACAAATCAGCAACACAAAAAAATTATTATCCAAATTATACACTATACTAATAAATACAGATACAACATATTCAATACCTATTAAACAATGGGAAAATGATCTCAACATAATCACAGATGCCGAATTTTGGAAAGAAGTTAGCTTAAATACATTTAAGATGAGTAGAAATGCCAATGTACAATTAATTCAATTTAAAGTAATATACAGAACACACCTAACCCAACATAAACTGTTTAAAATGGGACTGTCAAAATCAAACAAATGCGAACACTGCAATCTAAATGTACAAGACGATTATTTTCATGCTATCTGGTCTTGCCCCCCAGTTATTCAATTTTGGAGAGAGATTACTGGTAAACTATCTGAATATCTTAAATGTAAGATCCCGGCAAACCCGTCATTATGTCTTCTAGGAGACACATCAAAAATAAACCCTCCACTGGTACATGCATCACCCTTACTTCTGTCTCTAGTTATCGCCAAGAAAATTGTCCTAATTAACTGGAAAAATAAAAGCAGACTCAGTATTACTCAATGGCAGCACTTATTAACAGATCATATTACTAAAGAAAAACAGACGGCGACCCTTAAACACAAATTAACTAAATTCAAACAAATGTTTGGTTCCATTTCAGAATCATTAAACATTTATGTGCCCTAATAGGTGAATTAGAGCCTCACCAATTACCTATGTTAAATATATGAGACGCATACCATGCATATTAATACTATCGAATACCCAATGAATATACTTTAAATCTGAGTTAACATAGCATGGAATGGGTAGTTGGATTAAAGACATGTGACATACTCGTGGTATTGCTCTGCATTTTAATCTTGCATTGTATTAGTTAGCACATCGCGTATGTGTAGGGCGTGCGTAGGCCTAATAATATAATTTATGTTAATACCTCTTATTATGCTTCTAAATATTCTTCTTGTTATGTATTTAAATCTTGCTATTATTAAATTTCCTAAGGTCTGTAGGTGGGTGTAAGTGATGTTATGCGTATGAACGTCGGTATATATGTCTAGGCTTCATTATGTGTATGTTCGTGGGCCAATGTATATCGTATTTATTTTGAATGACATTTAATTATTGATGTATGAATTGTGTGAAGGTCTTTTAAGGCATGATCCACACACGTCTAGCTTATAAGTATGTCATCAATTATTAGTAAATGTGTGTATATGAGTGTTTATACCAGTGTACATGTATACAGGCTCGTGTGTATGTATGTGTATGTATATGTATGTGTTAGTGTGTGGGTGTGTGTAAATACGGGTATGTGCGTGATGAATATATATACATGTACACAAATTTTTTTTTTTTTTTTTTTTTTTTTTTTCTCGCTCTCTTTTATTTATTTTTTTTTTTTTTTTTTCTTTCCCATTTTTCTTCCCCCCCACCCCTCCTTTTACACCTGGCTAAAAATGCATAACTCAAGACTACAACCAGTGGTCATTTAAAAGTAATAACAACAATAATAATTGGACTACATCCAAGCACGGGCAGAGACACGACCGGATCATGATCCAGTGATCCGGACGGTCCGGCCAATGTGGTTTGGTAAACTCCTCTCAGACACTTCAGTCTTAAAGTCTTAACCATGTGCAGGCAGAGACGCAGCCGGGTCATGCACAAATGATCCGGAGGGTCCAGCCATTGTGCGTTGGTGTTAAGGGAAAGGAGAGGAGGAGGAGAAAGAAAAAGGAGAGGGAGAAAAAAAAAAAAAAAAAAAAACATTCAGGAGAGCAAGGTGCAACTGCAAAAGTGAAATCAATATGCAATAGCCATTTTAACTCTTCATCCTCCCTATTTTTAATTTCTATTTTTCTTCCCCTTTGTTTTTGTTGTTTTTTTTTTTTTTTTTTTTTTTGTTTGTATAATCTTTGTACCTTTTTTATTTTATTTATTTATTTATTATTATTATTATTATTATTTTTTTTTTTTTTTATTTTTTTTTTTTTATTATTATTTTTATTTTTATTTTATTTTATTTTATTTTATTTTTTTTGTGTATGTGTATATGTAGGTATGTATGTATATATATATGAATGTATATCTATGTATATGTATGTATATGTGTATGGATATATGGGTATGTGTGTAAATATGCAGATATGTGCGTATGAATATGTATGCACGTGTATGGGTTTATACATGTAGGTAAGAGAGATATAGAAAAAAAAAAAAAAAAATGCATGATCAAAAATCCCATTTTATTTCAGATGATTTGAGTGAAATATGTAAAATAGTCTTCCAACACTTCACAACCACCATAATGTTGTGATTAAAAAAGATGTTATCTTTTAATCTTTGACTTTCTCCCCTTTTAGAATCACATTATTGTCAAAGTTCCTCCATATCAGAATCCAGCTATCACATCTCCTGTATCTGTTGGTATCTATGTTGTTACAAATGCCGGACGATCCCATGATGTTCAACCATTTACGTACACTCCAGAGCCAGGTCAGTTTAATCTCCACCCTCGTTTCCCAACCCCATTCCTGGAGGCACACCAACAGAACACATTTTGGGCGTCTCCCTTATCCGACCCATCCATATTAGGTCTTGGTCTCTATGAGCTGATGAGTTGAATCAGTTGTAATTGGATAGGTACAGTTTAAAGGGATACTCCACTTTTTTTTGGAAATAGGCTCATTTTACAACTCCCCCAGAGTTAAACAGTTGAGTTTTACCGTTTTCGAATCAATTCAGCCGATTTTCTGATTTTTAGATGAATTTCAGTAACCAGACAGTATCTGGTCTCATTGACTTCCATTGTAGGAAAAAAATATACTATGGAAGTCAATGAGACCAGAAACTGTCTGGTTACTGATATTCTTCTAAATATCAGAAAATCGGCTGAATTGATTCGAAAATGGTAAAACCCAAATGTTTAACTCTGGGGCAGTGGTAAAATGAGTCTATTTCCAAAAAAAGTGGAGTATCCCTTTAAACGTGTAATGTTGGTGTGCTTCCAGGAACAAGGTTGGGAAACACTGTGCTAGAACGGTTTACCAATTAGACAAATCACAAATTTTGTATACATTTTTTTCAGCGGTTGATTCCTCTGTAAAAAAGGAAGTCTTGCCTCCAGTGACACCTTGTTGTTTCGAACAAATAAAAGGTGAGCAAACGTGATAATGAGCTATGAGTGCCAGGGTATTTCCTGAAATGGAAGAGTCATTGGCCTTCTGTCTGTTTCATACAGTAATCGATACTGCCTTGATGACGCCAGTTTTGCCTCTTGTTAAACGAGAAGAGGCCACACCAATGGAGGTCTCTAGTAATCCCTCGGCCTTCAAGGTTTGTATAACTCATGAGACATAAATCACCTCAATAAATCAGCATCAAGCGTTTCCGTATAATTTGATTAATGCCTATGTTAAAATCAACAGACCTCTGAAGTCATCAATTCAGCTCAGCAAGCCTTAGACAGGAGTACTGAGATCTCCACCAATAACTGCAAATTTTCCAGTCCGCTGGCACACCAAACAAGAGAACAGGATCAATCTCCGAATTCTGTCTTTTCTAACAAGGAACCATTCAGCACCATCCAGGAACATAATCTTGCATCCAGCGGCTCTTTCCACGTGCCTAATAAATCTCTTCTCCATCAAGGAGTTCAGCCATTCCTCTTGGAACACAGAGACAGTCTTGGACAGGAGAGATCAGGCAACAGTGGCGGATCAGTGGTGGGTCTGTCCCAGATGGACGACAACCCGCAGCAACAGCTCTCTCTTCTACCTCCAGATGAGGTGGCTCAACTAGAGCAGGCTGTGCGGCAGCTGCAAGCAAAGGGATTCTGCAACATCCAACTCCAGAATGAGAATTCAATGTCAAAGCAACGACAACATCAACTTCAACAGCAGCAGCAACAAATCCAACAACAGCAGCAGCAAATCCAACAACAACAGCAGCAAATTCAGCAACAGCAGCACCACATCCAGCAACAAGAGCAGCAAATCCAGCTGCAGCAGCAGCAGCAAACTCTGGAGAACCTGCAACATCAGCTTTTTCAGCCCCAAGTTCAGATTCATTGTAGTTCGGAGCAACAGAGCTCTTCCCAGGGAATCGCGCAGAATGGAAATTCCCTCTTCCAGCAAACCCCATCACAACAGCAGCAGCAGCAGCAAGCAACCTTGTTTCAACAAGCAACTGGCTTTCTTCAGCAGCAACCCAGTCATTCCTCACCTTCCCTGTTTCACAATCCGACAGCCATGACTGAAGCCCAAAGCCCACAGGAGGCTCTTTTCCACACACAGAAGACCTCACCCAACCAGGATCAGGTCCAAGCTTCCCTTTTCCAAAGCAATCTCAATGTTCTCAGTGGGTCTACCATGTCTGTAGAAGCGCAGTCCTCTGCAACCAGTATGTTTCTTTCCCAGAATGCTGTACCAGGTCAACTTACCGTTAATGCCAGCCAGCCACGGCAACTGGCTTTCCTCACTTCAATGCAGGGAACTCTCGAGGCCCCATCTGTATTTCAGACTCCAACCCAACTGTCCCCCATTCAGCAAGGCACTCCGATGGAGCAGCAGCAGTCACCACAGCATGCTCAACCTGGCTCCATGTTCCAGAGTATCTCCCAATCACCAAGCAAACTCTCTCCTGGTCAGCAACAGCAGGCTGGTCTACTTCTTGGGTCCTTAAATTCTCCAGTAACACAAGAGCAAACTTCAAATATGTTATTCGGTGGACAAGTTCAGGTTGGATCGATGAACAACAGCAGCCTAGCTTCTCCAGAACAACAGAACACTTCCCTTCCCTTCTCTCAGGCCGGCATGGTCACAGTCAGGCAGCAGGAGTCATCTAAACCCATGACATTTCAGGATCAGACTACTATGGTGGTCAACCCGTCCTCGAATAAGCCAATTTTCCAAGACCAGCAACCAATGCAGTTGGCACCAAGTTCTGGTACAGGCCCTTCACAGTCTGTAAACCTCTTCATGGCCCAGTCCAACATGCAAGGGGGGATGGCTTCTCAAGAAACCCTTTTTGCACCACAGAGTGATGTAACCGGAATCCAAACCAGCACTTCCTCTCCAGTACAACAGCCTGGTCAACTCTTTCAGACTACAATGGGTGGAAACCTCAACCAGCCCAACCGGAATCAGCAGCCCGACCTCTTCCTTTTTGAGATCCAGAACGGTTAGGCAGTGTTCTTAAACATCCTTTAGACTCGTTTGTCTCGTAAATCAGAGTTGTAACTCATTCTAATGATTTCTTTCCCGCAGAGTGCCGTCAGCTAATGAACAGCCCGGGATCTACACTATCTGATCAGATCATTGCCATCAGTCAGTCTGGACAGAGACAGCAAGAGAGTGAGGGGCAAATCCAGTCTTTACTTGGGCAGTCCATGCCAGACCCTGGAAATGTGCCGAGCACCTTGACAACCTCTCAGAACATGGAGAAGATTGACGATCTTCTGGTGAGCCTTCAGGAGCAAGGCAATAACATTTCCCACTCCTACTAGGTTCTTCAAGGATACGCTGCCCAATATCTCAATTCCATATATGATTGTTGATATTTCTTGCACACATATTGGATATTTTGGTATCCTTTATTTTGGATTTTGCAAAAATAGTGGATTGGAGACACTTTGGTCATATCCCTCATAGCAAGAGTAGGCCATTAACTTTTATTTCATTCTACACATTGACATTGAGACAGTAGAGTCGCCTGTTGAATGATTTGGCAAAATCTCTTGAATAATCATAACTATGGCAGAACCCTCTGGAGAACCTCAAGGCATCCTTAAAGAGGGGCAGTTTTCCATGGATCTTACAAAATGCAACCCATATGTTATAAAGACTGTCATTGGTTCTGCAGCAACTTTTAGGCACCTGGAAACCTAGAGACTATCAAAAGGGTTTCGTTGGTGTGGCGGTCTAAGGAACTTAAAGGGTGCCTTGAGTAGCTCTTTATTTTTACAGTGACGGAGAGATATTTTGGGAAGATCAGGACTCATGAGATGTCTGTTTTTAGCTGTAAACTAAACAAATAATCAAGAATGCCTGATAGAAACAGTCTGCAGTGACAATTTTTTGTAAACAGTCATTAATACCTTTTTCTCTGACACACTTGAGTATAAGCTATTTTTCTTTTGGAAAAATCTTTTTAGTCAAATGGGAATATGTACATTCACTTAGAATATAAGTGAGAAAACAAATGTGTTTTGGCATTTTCCTTCTAGCACTTTATGTATGTTTTCAGTGTGGTTAGTTATTCCTGACTCATTGACATTTCATCAAGCTTTCATCAAATCTCAAACCAACCATGTTTACTGAATACATAATTCTACTGTCTTTCATCTCTGTGTTTTTTAAGACTAATCCGTATAGTAGCATTTAGAAATGCACATTCCTGGTTTAAAATCAAACAAGTAGTTATCAGTAATCTAAAAAAACAAAGCCTCTGATATTTATTTTTGATTTTGGTTTACACAAGTCATTTCTTGCCATCATAGTTTGACTGGTATCTATGTTTTGCATGTCTAAGTTATCCTATATATATATATATATATATATATATGTGTGTGTGTATGTGTGACATATTTTCTGATTATACCTCTAAAAGTTTGTCATTATTAAATTTATTCTTATAATAATTCTGAAATATTGACAGTTGATGCTCAAATCATTTTGTGTCATTGTGGTAGGTTATTTTATTTAGTTTACCAGTGTCTGGTACGCTGGAACAGGGCTGATTGCATTTTTTGGGGGGCAAATTAGAAGGCAATGTCCAACCGGTATTATCGACATGTTCTCTGAATATACAGTAAATACAAACGCTATAAATGCTGGGGAAGCAACCTTTTATCTTTGGTAACAGAAATCGTTTTTGTCAATCACCTAAAATATTAAAGCCGTCGGCATGTCAAAACCAATATTTTATCTACTTTTATCGAAAATTGGTCAGTTTTGTGGCTCAGTTGGTTGTTCATGTATTCAGTTTTGAAGTGAGTTTGATTTGAATGTAGAGAACCTTGTGAGCTATATATTTCTGGTAATATCAAGCTCATGCATGTGTTCTAGTGTTAGACATAACGTAAAGCTGCCAAACTAGTTTGTGTGCTTAATATTAGGCTGATGTGACATTAGTTGGCAGATTGTTTTGTTGTTAGCATGAGGGTGAAATATATACATTATGAGGGAGCTGTTCTCTGTAATGTTACAGAAATGGCTCATTTGAGCCTGCTATGTTTGGTATTAATTGTCAATTTTTTTTGACTATTCTCTTTTCTCAGAAATTTGGGTGATTTTTATGCCTACTTTTTAGTAGAGACTTTTTTTCCTTTTTTTTGGGGGAGAAGTTTTGCTTGAGAGGTGCTTTTTTTTATATCTCTGCATGGGAAAGAACTGTGAACGGGAACTGGAAAAAAGTCTTCATCTCTATACAATACTAATTGTAATATTTTTCCATAATCAATATTTATGTGAATATATACTTTTTCACCCTACCTCTTTTTAGAAAGTATTTATTTTTGTGTCTCAAGAATTTTGACAATTAGAATGTCTATTAGATTTCAATTGGAATGCATAATTATAACATTTCATTATGTAGCTTTTGTTTCTTTTATGTCAAATCTTTTAAAGTAAAAAAACAATGTGTGTGTGTTTGTGTGTGTTTATCCCATATACTATTGTAACATCATGTTTAGGCTATAGAGACTTTGTTGAGAATCATTATTATAATGCACAGCGATTCGGCGATTACTTAAATACACAGTAATTCCTATAATGATTTCATCAATCTTTTGGGAAATATAAGCCATATAAACAAACATTGCCCCTAAAAATTCTATATTGTATGATTCTTGGGACCAATTATAAATTATTTATAGTTCAATTTAGCAAACTAATCATCTATTTTGGGTGCAATAACATTTATAATTTAAAACTAAATATTTATAAATTATAAGAAATTCAACAAAATGTAATAGGAACACAAGTGTGTAAGTGTTTTTCTTTAAAATATAATAAAAGTCAGTTCAATATTGCAAGTGAGGCTTTGCAAATCACTTTTTTTTTTCATTTATTTATATTCTGACACATTCTTCCTACTCATCCCAGTCAAAAAATGAATACCAAACAATGTGCCTCTAAAAGGACTAAACCCAATTAATTTTTTAATTGGTTGCATGACGTGGTAAATATACAGCAATTAGTCGTGCCTTCTGATTTAAAAGCAGATCATTTCCTGGCCATTGCCTATTTTGACGGGTCATGAAACGACTCCCCTTTAAAATTTGTTCCACAGTGGATACGTAAGCTAAGCTGTATGTTTCACTTAAAGGTGCAGTAAGCAATTTCTGAGAACTAAGGTTGAACAGTGATGATATTTAAAATCAACCCAAACAAACATGCCCCTCCCTTCATTGCTCTGCCCCAAAATGCACAAACATGCATCGCAAGAGTCGATGTCTCTTTATCATAGCTGAAGCGAAGCAAAATAAATCTTTGAAGATGAGTAAATACAAGCAGTGAGTGGACACACCCCATGCTGCTGATTGGCTCACTCTTCTCCCCCATCATGAGTGGACACACCCCCTGCTGCTGATTTGCTCACTCTCTCTCCTCCCCCATCATGAGTGGACACACCCCCTGCTGCTAATTGGCTCACTCTCCTCCCCGATCATGAGTGGACACTGGACACACCCCCTTCTGCTGATTGGCTCACTCTCCTCCCCCATTATGAGTGGACACCTGCCCCTTACGGCTGATTGGCTCACTCTCTCTCCTCCCCCATCATGAGTGGACACCCCCTGCTGCTGATTGGCTAACTCTCTCTCCTCCCCCATCATGAGTTGACACACCCCCTGCTGCTAATTGGCTCACTCTCCCCCCCCCCATCATGAGTGGACACACCCCCTGCTACTGATTGGCTCCTCCCCCATAATGAGTGGACACACCCCTGCTGCTGATTGGCTCACTCTCTCTCCTCCCCCATCATGAGTGGACACACCCCTCACTGCTGATTGGCTCAATCTCTCTCCTCCCCCATCATGAGTGGACACACCCCCTGTTGCTGATTGGCTCACTCTTCTCCTCCATCATGAGTGGACACACCCCCTGCTGCTGATTGGCTCACTCTTCTCCCCCATCATGAGTGGACACACCCCCTGTTGCTGATTGGCTCACTCTTCTCCTTCATCATGAGTGGACACACCCCCTGCTGCTGATTGGCTCACTCTTCTCCCCCATCATGAGTGGATACAACCCCTGCTGCTGATTGGCTCACTCTCTCTCCTCCATCATGAGTGGGCACAACCCCTGCTGCTGATTGGCTCACTCTCTCTCCTTCCCCATCATGAGTGGACACACCCCTTACTGCTGATTGGTTCAATCTCTCTCCTCCCCCATTATGAGTGGACACACCCCTTACTGCTGATTGGCTCAATCTCTCTCCTTCCCCATCATGAGTGGACACACCCCTTACTGCTGATTGGCTCAATCTCTCTCCTCCCCCATTATGAGTGGACACACCCCTTACTGCTGATTGGCTCAATCTCTCTCCTCCCCCATTATGAGTGGACACACCCCTTACTGCTGATTGGCTCAATCTCTCTCCTCCCCCATTATGAGTGGACACACCCCTTACTGCTGATTGGCTCAATCTCTCTCCTTCCCCATCATGAGTGGACCCACCCTCTGTTGCTGATTGGCTCACTCTTCTCCCCCATCATGAGTGGACACACCCCTTACTGCTGATTGGCTCAATCTCTCTCCTTCCCCATCCTGAGTGGACACACCCCCTGTTGTTGATTGGATCACTCTCTCTCAGTCTGCGGCTCAGTCTGAACCATTTTTAACAGCGTTTCTCAGAAATTGCTTACTGCACCTTTAAATTGACTAGCTTAAGAATAAGCAATATTATTCACAAAAACCCACAATTCTTTTATTTAATATAAATGCTTATTTTTTGTTTAAACTGAGATGCAGTTAAACTGAGTGCATATTGGATTTTATTCTTTATTCTTTGTTTCGGTTCTGCTGCTTATTAATGAGAATTCCTGATGTGCCATAAAGAATGTCAATATTATGTAAGTCTTATGGCAATATACTTTTATGTGTCAGTTTGTTCAATTGTGTTGTCTGATCTAAAAGTTTCTGTTGTGATGATAACATATTACATCTGACATAATTGTGACACTTAAAGCTACAAAAAAAAAAAAATCATATAGAAGCATTTTGCTTTTGTTGGGGCATTTTTACTCTTGCAGCTATTTTCCCGTAAATGTTTTGCGGCTATGTATCAATACAAATAGGTACAATAAAAGTAATTACAGAATTGTGCTCTTGTTGTCAATCATTAATTTGGTTCTGAAAAACTCAAACAAACAGAACATGCAAAGACTAAATCCATGGAAAGGATTCAATTTTATTTTGTTTTTTTCACCTGCATGTTAAAGTGGCTGTGATCGGCCTAAAAGGAAAACAAGGTTATTTAAATTGAAGTTAGGATTAAATACTACTAATACTAACTAATAATAATTACAGTAGTAATACTTTTTTTTTTCATATTTCCTGTGTTTGTAATGTACGGAGGCATATTGCATTCACTTGGAGAAGAAAAATCTACTGTTTTTCTGAATTAACAAGTTAATTATCTCATAATTCCGAGATAATTTTTCATGGAAAAAAGTTTTTGGTCTGTTTTTCTGAATTAATGAGTTAATTTTTCATGAGAAAAAAAAAATGTTTGCTCTGTTTTTCTGAATTAACGAGTTAATTTTTCATGAGAAAAAAAGTTTTGCTCTGTTTTTTTCTGAATTAACTAGTTAATTTTTCATGAGAAAAAAGTTTTTGCTCTGTTTTTATGAATTAACGAGTTAATTTTTCATGGAATTTTTTTTTTGCTCTATTTTTCTGAATGAATGAGTTAATTTTTCATGAGAAAAAAGTTTTTGCTCTGTTTTTATGAATTAACGAGTTAATTTTTCAAGGAATTTTTTTTTGCTCTGTTTTTCTAAATCAATTCGTTAATTAAGAAAAAACAGAGCAAAAACTTTTTTCTCATGAAAAATTAACTCGTTAATTCAGAAAAACAGAGCAAACATTTTTTTTCACATAAAAAATTAACTCGTTAATTCAGAAAAACAGAGCAAAAACTTTTTCCATGAAAAATTATCTCGTAATTCTGAGATAATTAACTTGTTAATTCAGAAAAACAGAGTAGATTTTTTTTCTTCAAGTGAATGCAATACGCCTCCGTAGTAATGAAAGAGAACTGCAGTAAGGTTTTCTGAGCAATAGAGGTCACTGCTCTCAGCCAACAGATTCTGTTTCTTCATTGCACTTCATTCAGTCACCTAAAAATGACATGACAGACCATGTCTAAACCATGGTATAACTATGGTTTTATCAGTCAAATACGGCACAAGTTAGTAAATCATTAAGAAACAACAACAGCGTGTCTTTCAAAACACTCTTTTGTGAGAAAAACTACTTTCTTTCCTCCATGGATTCAAATAAAGCAACAAGCACTAAGAAGCAGTAGCCAGCAGTGGCCAGCGTCCAAAAACTGAAAAATGCTGCCTTCGGAGGACAAATGCAATGTTAGTTTCACTTCCTGTCTCCTTAGACACCTTCATCTGATCGATTTTTGAAGGCAGCATTAATCTATCCTTCACTGCCTTTGATATCCCACAATCCTGTGCTTTCCATTCTATGTGACAGTAGAATAAAGATGGTGTCTGAAAGTTGTGGGTGGTCGTCACTCTGTGTGTAACTGTAAAGTTTTGGTAAATGTTTTCCACTTACGATGTCATTTCTAGTGATACATTTCTACTGTAGTCATTAAATATTCACTTAGTTTTCTCTAAAGCTCTCTCTCTATTTTGTTGTAGATCATTAAACTGTTACGCTGCCTCAGAAGTCTGTCTGAAAGTTCGTGAATCGTGAGGTACCTTCATGTACAGACGCTGCTTGCAAAGTCACTGCCTGAAAGGGCAACGAGGAAACAAGTCAGCTTGCCTACGTTTTCAGACGCAGCCGTAGTAATTTACATATTTAAAACAGCTAAGCGGTGTTGTTTGCATTACCAAACAATTATGGTTGTTTGTCTAATAATTCAACGGCCTGTCGTTTTTCCACTTTTTAAAAAAAACAGTTTTGCTTACATTTTTATATATGTGTACGCTTATATATATTGTAAGAAAAATGATGTGTGTAGGCATATATATATATATATATATATATATTTGTTTTTTTGTTAGATGTGATTAATCGATTTGACAGCAATAATGATATATTAACACTACTTCAAAAGAGATCTATGTGTAGCTGTAGGCCTATATTTTTAATTCACAGAATTAAATATTAACAGGTTAAATACTGATACATTTCACAAATTTAAATCACAATAGTAAGAGGGTTATTTGTGCCTCAAATTTAATGGGTGAAATAGTAGAATCACACGAACTGATGCAACATGACAGAAAATTTCACAAGTGGAAGTGACCATGTGAAAAAAAGCATAGGCTTTGGGTTCAAATATTATTAAGGAAATATAGATGTATTGATGTGTGTGTGTGTGTGTGTGTGTGTGTGTGTGTTTGTTTTATTATTTGTTCTTTTTTGTTTATATTTATTTATATTTTACAGTTTCATAATTTAACAATGAACCACCATTTAACCAATAGTTTGTGTAATATTGTGTTATTCGTTTTAATATTATAATGAATGAACATTTCTCTTGGTGTTGTTAATGTTAACATGCATATTTTTATGAAAAATAAATGATTAGAAGAAAAATTGACTGATGCAACTCCAAGCAACGGTACTTTTACACTGAAATGTGGTTAAAAATTAGCCAGTGTATTCAGTCTCACGGCTGTGCCTGTGTGTGTGTGTGTGTGTGTGTGTTTGGCGGAAGAGCGCGGAGAAGAAGATGGCAGACGGAGCTGTCGTGGAGGGAGATAAACTCAGCAAAAAGTAGGCTACATACATATTTATAGCATTACAACGATTATCCTTATCCTGTACGAAACGCTAAACATGAGTCTGCTTGTGTGGATTGTGTGGCTTAGCGTGACTTTCACTGCTGTGAGATTCGGGTTAAACGCGTGTTGGGCAACGTGGTTATAGATCCGCGTGAACGCGATTGAGTGACAAGAGTTTTTTGATTCCTATTCACCTTGTATAGTGTTTGTGCCGATAATTTTCTCACCAACATCCTCGCGAATCTCGTTTAAATCCTCAAATTTCACAGCCGGTTGCACGTATTCGTCCAAATGACAACTTCATTCCCCATAATTCCGTAGCGAGTCTACAGAATGGCGTGTATTCGCCTATGAAAGGTCAGAATTTTCTGTTACCCAGTATTTCAAAGAACCGATTCGACAATTATTTTACGTCGTGACTTAGTAAATATATCGTATTGTAACGTCCCTGCGATTAGGTTATTAAAGTATGTTGTTTTTCGTCTTATCAGTCCAAGTATTGTCTGAATGCTTTCACTATCGGTTTTCGGGAAATGCTGAATTCGGACTTGCATGCTACGATACTACTCTTACAAAGAAGTAATTCGGTTTCATTATTATGCCGGTGCGAATTCAGCTAAAGAGATTCTTATTATTGAACCGATTCAAATGATTCATTGGAAATATCAGACTCAAAGAATGAGTTATCAGCTCTCTTATTTTAGAAGTTAGCTGCTTCTTGTGTCAGGACGAGAAAATATTTCATAATCTTAGTATTATTATTGTAGAATTTCTTCACATGGTAACATTTTACAGTAAGGTTTTGTAACCTTAGTTTACAGTGTGGCCTAAAAAAAGAAAACTTCTAAAGCATTTAATGTTGGTAACATTTTCTATTACATTTTTTAAATTCAAACGTTGTATCTGGTAATAATATTTAATAGATAAGCTACAAAGTCATATTTATTTTAACTGACTTACTGAGGCTAATGTAACTAATGGGACCTATAAGTGTTTCCATCAACATTATTTAAAACAACAACAATGATAGTGATAACTAATAGCATAGGAGGCTACCATGGTATCATCACCGTATAATATTATTCTTGTACCATGGTACGTTTCTGTAAGGGTGCAATAAATCTGACCCTAATTATTTTGTTTTTTGATTCATCAAATAGGGCGTTCGCATCATGTTGACTCTGGTCAGAATATGCAGGCTGCAAGCGTTCAGGGCGCAGACGTTTGCTCTTCCCAGTTCGCAAACCCTGCCTTTGCTTATTCAAGGAAGTCGCTGGAGAAGTGGCAAAAGGTTGGTGGTCTTTCCATTTAATGCGAAAAGCGACCAACCTTTTGTCACTAAAAAATATTGCTTGTTAGAGACTTCCACAGCATGAATGTGCCAGCCGCGCAACAGCGATGCTAGTAGTGTTTCTCCGCATGGCGTCTGAGCTTCGTTCTAACCCTATATGTCTTTAGTGAGTTGAAAAGGCGCATGAAAGCTGAGAAGAAGGCAGCTGAGAAGGAAGCCAAGGTCAAAGAACAGCAGGAACAGGAGACCAATGACAAGCCAGAGCAAAATGCATTTGGGGCCGATGAGGAAACCCTGGACCCAAATGTATGTTGAGTATTGATTATGGAAGGCATACTTCTGGCACTCAAATTCAGAATCAATTGTGACTGATTTATCTTGCCTCTCGTTTTCAATACAGCAATACTTCAAGATCCGTTCTCAAGCCATTCAAGCCTTGAAGGGAACAGCTGAAGACCCGTACCCTCACAAGTTCCATGTGGACTTGTCGCTTATGGAGTTCATTGAGCGATATAGCCATCTTCAGCCAGGGGACCACTTGACTGATGTTGTCCTCAGTTTATCAGGTACATGTTCTCTACTTGTTTTTAGAGATAGTTCACCCAAAAACGAAAATGATCATTTATTCAGCCTCAAGCAATCCGAGGTGCATGTGACTTCCTTCTTTCAGCCAAACACAATCGGAGTTGTAGTAAGAAAATATCCAAATATGCCCATCCATCATAAAAGTACTCCATACGGCTCTGAGAGGTTAATAAAGACCTTCTGAAGAGAAGCGATGCGTTTTAACATTAACAGATTTCCCTAACATTAGTTATTTGTAGTTATTTCTGAGTTTTAACTAAAATAATATGATAATGCATTTTAAAGAAACTTGTTTCTTTTATCGTCACAACAGAACAGACTGATAATAGTGGCATTAGCTACTGTAGCTTTGTGGTTAGCTAGTCTATGATGAGCCATAATTTAGCAATGGATTATGTCATACTGCAAATTGTAAAACATACATTTTCAATATAACAGGACAAGGAGAGATGATGCGTCTCATTGCTATAACTGTCACACGCTATTAAAGAAATACTTCAGTCACATCGTCAAAAGTTAAAAGGACACTCAGTCAACTACACTGTAACTATTACTAGCTAATTCCGCTTCACTCTCGGCTTATTTAACAGCAGCAAAACTGGATATGATAGTCACAAATTTGTCATGCTTATTTGAGTTAAGAGAACTGATGGGGATGTTCTTTTAATTGTTATTCAAGCAATGTATGTATCGTGACCAACACAACGAGTGTTGCCAACAGGAACGGTGTAGAGTGCCCTCTGGTGGACAAACTATACAACTCCAACACTCATGACATGGTTCAAGCGTGTTTCGTCCGTTTTTATTTTATTTTTGAAATATTCATTTATCGGCCATTATAACTGCCGATACCGATAGTTTGGAAAATGCCTAATATCGGCCGATAAAATCGGCCTGGCTCTATTGGTAACACACAACACAAATTTCATCCACCTAGAAATGTGAAGAATTAATGTTTCTTTAACAATAAGAGACATTTCTGCTGCTTGATCTAAAACATTTCGGTTCTTTCCGCTTGATTGAAAGGTCGTGTCCACGCTAAGAGGGCTTCAGGTGCCAAGCTGCTGTTCTATGACCTGCGAGGAGAAGGGGTCAAGCTGCAGGTCATGGCCAACTCCAGGTCGGATTTGCACTCCACGGCATCACGCTTCCCAGGCATTTTGACGTAATAACTTAACCTGTGTTTTGTTATTTATTCTTAGGAACTACAAATCAGAAGAAGATTTTGTGCACATTAACAACAAATTAAGGCGCGGGGACATCATTGGTGTCCGGGGGAACCCTGGCAAGACAAAGAAGGGCGAGTTGAGCATCATCCCAGTGGAGATGACACTGTTGTCTCCGTGCCTTCATATGCTTCCCCACCTTCACTTTGGCTTGAAAGACAAGGTAAAGACTCTCTTTCGGTTTTAGCCTTCGTTTTCAGCACACCCTTTGACTCTGGTGTTTAGGGGTACAATTTGGTGCCAGCACAGCAAAAACGAATATGCAACTGACTGGGCTTAATATGCGTATTAAAAAGTTTGTATTACTTAGTATGTATGTATTACTTAAAGGGTACATATCATGCTATTAAATCATTCCTTTTTACATATAAATCATACATTTGTGGTCTATATAAAGCGAAACTGCAATGCTTGGGTCTGAATTCCTCATTATTATAGCTCCACTGGCCCCCTTTCTACCCCTTTTCTGATGTGAACAACCGAACATGTTGACTTGCCCTCTCGTAACTTCTGCATTATTGATCGGAGCGAGAAATAATAATGGCGGATTGCTGGAAGTGTTGGGCCGGTTGTCAATGTCCTTATTTGTCAGTTCCGCTGCAAATACTGTGACGTAATTGTTCAAAATACGTCATAGAGAACTGCAAAATCTGAAACAAGTTGCAAAATATGACCAAAACAGAATATAAAGATATAAATGAAGCACCTGAAGAGAAAAATTTCAACTTTTCTGTACTTATAAACACTCCAAATATACAACCAAAATGCATTTAAGGGCTAAAAAAGTCGATTTAGCTTGATATGTACCCTTTAAGTGCATGGAACTGAATATATTGCATGTTAATTACATTTAAATGAAAGTATTATTTTTCATTAAAGTTTAACTATAATAACTTTTTAGTAGGGCTGTGCAAAAATTAATTGCGATTAATCGCACCCAAAATAAAAGTCTGTGTTTACATAATATATTTGTGTGTGCTGTATATAATTATTTTGTATATATAAATACCTATGCATGCATGTATATATTTAAGAATGATTTGCACTTAAATTCTGTTTATAGATATGAATATAAATATTTTATATATGAATAACACATTTTCTTAAATATATACATGCATTTTATATATACAAAATAATTATATACAGCACACACAAATATATTATGTAAACACAGACTTTTATTTTGGATGCGATTTATCGCAATTAATTTTTGCACATCCCTACTTTTTAGTGCTTTTTTTTGTAGGACTTAAGAACATCTTTATATGTAATTTCATATTTACTTCTATTGTCTTTGAAATACGCTGAATGTGCACTGCTGAATTTACTGACAAGCATTTATCAATGTAATTTCTTTAAAACTTTAAATGTAAAATCAATAACACACTACTACACACTATTAAAATTGTAATCACGTACTTTACAAGTGCTTTAGTATGTTGGTCAACACATCAGAAGATCGATATAAGGTTATTAAAACAAGGATTTACTATAAAGTAAAATGGTACTTTGACATTATAAACTGCATTTTTTTATAAGGCATAAATGTAAACTTAAGTGGCCTTTATTTTATAAAAAAGTGCTGTTTTTTTGAAAATATACTTTTAAGACATCAATATATGTAACATTAAGTAAATAGTAGTGCAAAGTAGGGATGGGCAACGATTAATCGCGATTAATCGCATCGAAAATAAAAGTTTGTGTTTACATGATATGTGTGTGTGGTGTGTAATTATTTTGTATATATAAATACACACACACGCATGTATATATTTAAGAAAAATGTGTTCTTAATATATCTAATATTTATATTTATACATAATATTAATTATGTATAAATATATATAAAGTACATACATGCAAATATTTCTTAAATATATCCATGCATGTGTGTGTATTTATATATACAAAATAATTATACACACCACACACACATATATTACGTAAACACAAACTTTTATTTTGGATGCGATTAATCGTTGCCCATCCCTAGTGCAAAGACACTTTCTCCCAGAGCTTTATTGTTTACACATCGACATGTTAAGCACGGCCATTACCATTTATTGATGAAATTGCCAAATTGCGAGAAATCGAATGATTCATTCGTCACTCATGATGTCGCAGGTACTGATGTTTATTCATTGTTCCTTTAGGAAACCAGGTTCCGACAGCGATATCTGGACCTGATTCTTAATGACACCGTGCGACAGAAGTTTGTTACCCGTTCCAAGATTATCACTTATCTCCGCAGTTTTCTGGACCAGCTTGGGTTTCTTGAGGTAATGTTGACACAAGAGAAAGATCTCTCTTAAAGGGTAATTCCACCGATGGAGACATGAATATGTATTAAAAGTGGTCATATATTTAGTAAAATAGTATCATAAATTTCTAATTTGGGTCCTTCTTGTCATTCTCTTGTCCCCAATCATTCTAGAATTCCTAATTAATTTCACTAGATGACTTGAATAGCTTTATTTGGAAAGAATTGTTTTCATATCACTAGATGTATAACTGAAAAACAACATATCGCAATGTCGCTTTTTCCAATTTCGTGCAGATTGAGATGCTAAGAGTTGCTATTTTATGATGTGTTTTACAGATTGAAACGCCAATGATGAATCTGATACCTGGTGGAGCTGTAGCAAAACCTTTTGTCACCTACCACAATGAGCTCAATATGAACCTCTACATGAGAATTGCTCCTGAGCTTTACCATAAGGTAAATGTGTCACTGCAGCAGCTGTTCAAATTTGAAATGTTTTATTGGATATCTAACCTTCACCGATGTTTCAGATGCTGGTAGTCGGTGGGATCGACCGTGTGTATGAGATCGGGCGTCAGTTCCGTAATGAAGGCATCGATCTCACCCACAACCCCGAGTTCACCACATGCGAGTTCTACATGGCTTATGCGGACTATCATGACCTGATGGAAATCACAGAGAAGCTTCTCTCAGGTTTGTTTGGCTACGTTCACACTGCAGGCCACTTCCATGTGTGGTCTTAATTGTGATACAGGTCTGGGGTCTCATTTTTAAAACTGTGCATAGGATCCTTGCTAAAAGTGTGCCAAAAAATGTTAGATTTATAAAACCGTTTGCACGCCAGAACCTGCGCAGAATTCACTTTATAAATCCCAGTCAGCCGAAGATTGTGCGCACATGCGTCTCCCCGAAATAACCATATATGGAGCATACAACACCTATTTTAAATATGCATATCATATTTTTTTAAATGGAAAATTAATAATTTTCAAAAATGCATTTATAGTTTCTATCTATATAAACCACTATATATTTTATAATAACATTATAATCATACATATAGCCTACATTTAATATATTTTTAATAAAATTACGATTACTGTAGGCTAATATATGTAGCAGGGCATTCAGTAACTTTTGAAAGGACAATAATAAAGAGTCAGTGTATTTCATAAGACTTCAACTTTGCCAGCTATATAAAAAAAATCTCGCATTTCCTCACGTTTTACCACTGCTCCCTTCTTCTCACAGCTATCCATGGCTATTTATTTGCATTTTTCAAAAAGATTGTGAGCTAGACTTGAGCTGAAAGAGGAGGGTTTCATGACCCTTTAACACTGTAAATGTTCCTCTCACTCTTAAAATCTATTAAATGTAATGGTATTCAAAAATGTACTGGAAGGAAAAATGTAAGTAGAACATAAACAAATGATAGTGGCATACATTATAAACATTTAATGTCAAACCTAAACTAATTTAAAGTAGGGCTGTGCAAAAATTAATTGCGATTAATCGCATCCAAAATAAAAGTCTGTTTACATAATATATTTGTGTGTGCTGTATATAATTATTTTGTATATATAAATACCTATGCATGCATGTATATATTTAAGAATTATTTGCGCTTAAATTCTGTATATATAAATAAATACATAATCTATATTATATAAATATTTTATTTATGAATAACACATTTTCCTAAATATATACATGCATGTGTGTGCATTTATATATACAAAATAATTATATACAGCACACACAAATATATTATGTAAACACAGACTTTTATTTTGGATGCGATTAATCGAAATTAATTTTTGCACAGCCCTAATTTAAAGCGAAACCAAAACTACTGACATGTGGGAAATGCGCTATACAAATAAACTTGGGCTCATGTAGATCACTCATTCAGTACGAATCCCAGTGTGTGTGGTTTCTGCGCGCTTTATGTTTACTGCATTTTCACTGCAAAGTCACTTTGGAAAATAAGTAATCTGTTCATATATGGATTCCTTATTTATTTATTTATTCTTTTAATTATGAACTTTTAAGTTTTGGTTGAGGGACAAAAATCTCTCGGGTTTCATAAAAATATATCTTCCTTGGTGTTTTGAAGATAAAGGGAAGTCTTCTGGGTTTTGAAACAACCTGCATGCAAGTAATTGACTGTTCATCTTTGGGTTAATTCAATCTTTTAATATATTTACGTAATTTGAACGACCATAATTCTGTAATTTCATGATTTTTCAATGGTTTAAAGGGATAGTTCACCCCAAAATTAAAAATGTATAATCATTTACTCGATCTCTGGCCATCACAGAGTTATGACTTTCTTTCATGAGAAACACAAGTGAATTGGTGACTAGCGACAAACCACACACAGCGGACATGATGACCGTAATCCATTCGACCCCAGTGGATGAATCATTGTCTTCTAAAGTGAAATGATAGATGTGTGTAAGGAAAATACTAATGTTTATAACTTTAACGGTTTTAACTTTTAATCATTGCTTACAGTTTACTTCAATTCAGGGAAGTTGTGAATGTGATTCACTGGGGTCGTATAGGTCACTGCCACATTCACTGTGTGTGTGTGATCACACACGCGGCACCCATTCACATGCATTATATGGACCCACAGAGATGGATTATTGTCCTAAAAATCTTTCTTTGTGTTTATCTGAAGAAAAAAAGTCATATACATCAGGGATCACATGAGGGTTCATAAATGATGAGAGAATTTTAATTTTTAGGTGACCTATCCCTTCATTTATATAACGTCTGAAAACACCAAGTGACATTTCTTTGGTGCTTTCACAGGAATGGTGAAGCACGTGACCGGAGGCTATAAGGTGACGTATCATCCTGATGGTCCAGAAGGACAAGCCCAAGAAATAGACTTCACTCCTCCCTTCAGACGGATCAGCATGACCCGAGACCTGGAGAAGGAATTGGGAGTGAAGTTTCCAGCTCCTGACACCTACGACAGTGATGGTAAGGCTTACAGTCAATAAGAGCTGTTCAATCACTACATGAAAATTACTTGACATAATCGAACATGGGCCGTGGAGCTTTACTCTGAAAAACTACTGTTTCCTTGACAGAAACGCGCAAGTTCTTAGACGACCTTTGTGTTCAGAAAGAAGTTGAATGCCCTCCTCCTAGGACGACTGCTCGTCTTCTTGATAAGGTATGATCTTCTGGCCTAAAACTTACACTATCTTAGAAATACGATGGAAAAGAGCTCAGGGAAACAGATTCACTAAACATTCTTGGGGATAGTTCACTTTGACATTAATTTTTGGTATGTTTTAGCTTACCTCAAGGGCACCCAAGATGTTGGTGTCTTTGTTTCCGCAGTAGATTCAATTTTGATATTTTTAGGTCAAACTGTTCTTGTCTGTCAGTCATATAATGGAGGTCTATGGTCACCACCTCAAAGAGCATGCACAGAGAAGTCCAAATTAAACATGATTTAATGACTCGTAAATGGAAGTACACATTGATGGCCTAAAACACGAAACGAGCGGTTTGAGAGAGAAAACGAACAGTATTTATATCGTTACAGCCACAAAGCGCCTGCGCCTACAGATCATTTGGACCTGGCTGTGTTTACAAGACGATAAATAAATAAATGAAGAGTTCAGATGCAAAAGCCTCTAAATGCCATTTGAAATTTTCTTCTTTAATGATGATTTTTATCAAACTTGTATATTTAAGTTCAGTAATTTCACTTAAATAACAATTAATAGGTAATTATCATTGCCATTTAAGTGAAATCACTGAACTTAAATATACAAGCTTGATAAAAATGATCATTCTAGAAGAAAATTTCAAATGGCACTTAGAGGCTTTTGCATCTGAACTCTTCAAATATACAGCAAATAAATAGGAGCATAAAAAATATACAGCAAACTTTGGATTTTCTGTCCGACATTCCCGCATGGACCAGCCGTGTTAATCATCTGTCAAGAGAAATTGTATAATGCTCACTCAATGTCATAAACAAGAGTTGGCTTGTGTACAAAAGATGTGAAGAGTTCAGATGCAAAAGCCTCTAAATGCCATTTGAAATTTTCTTCTTTAATAATGATTTTTATCAAACTTGAATATTTAAGTTCAGTAATTTCACTTAAATAACAATTAATAGGTAATTATCATTGCCATTTAAGTGAAATTACTGAACTTAAATATACAAGTTTGATAAAAATCGTCATTAAAGAAGAAAATTTCAAATGGCACTTAGAGGCTTTTGCATCTGAACTCTTCATGTGTACTTTATGTTCTTTGTGTTCATCAACATGTACACATTATAAACTGATTTTGCCATATTGTTGTTGATTTTTCCATGTAGTTGGTGGGAGACTTCCTGGAGGTGAAATGCATGAACCCAACATTCATCTGTGATCATCCACAGATCATGAGTCCTCTAGCAAAAGGGTATGTGCCTGACTTTGATTTCTATTTTTTTCACTCTGCAGTTAAATCACAAATGATCTAACTCAGGGATGTCCAGTCCTGCTCATGGAGGGACAACGTCCTGCAGATTTTAGCTCCAAGACACTTGCCTGGATGTCTCTAGTGAGTTCTGTAAACCCTGGTTGGCTGGGTTCAGTTGTGTACTCTCTGGTGGTGTTCGGTCATTTTTTTTTTTTCTCGTTTTGACATTTTTAATATTGTAACTGCATCGGATTGGTTCGAAACTTGATTACTCTTGTGGCAGTCGCTATAAAAATGTCCGCCATAGCAAATTAATGGGAAATGCGCAAAGATCCAAAAATACAGTATACAATCTACAAATCATTCACTATGCAGAAAAAATGTTCACAGCAAAGAGGGGTGAAACTCATATAAAATATCAAGAGCGCAAAATAGACCAGGTCAGATGTATATGAAATGGTACACTGTAAAAAAAAATATTTTCATGATTTGTAATCAAAAAATTTTTTTCTTTTGTCAAATCAACTTAGATCATTTATGTAGTTCAGATAACATAATATTTTGTGTTTCTGGTGATTAAATCAATCTCCTTCAGTGTGTTAACTCAGTTTTTCCATTTTAACTTAAAATTTTAAGGCAACCAGGTTACTTATTTTTTAAGTTAAACCAATAATATTTTTTTACAGTGTGTGACTAACATAAAGCATGTTTTGCAAATTCTGGAAATAAAATCATTGTCATTAAAAAATCATCAGCCAGAATGCAGTAAACGCAGACGGAAGGGAAGGGGTTACACTCTAAAATCTCGAGAGTACAAAATACACACCTGCTAAAATACACACAAATGAACTGGTGTGGCTGTAAGAGTTTGAAATCAAATTGATTAACCTCTGATAAAGTATTCCTGTTCCATTTTTTTGTTGAATTGTGATGTGTAACAAAATGTCTTTTTCTGTTCAGGTTTGACATAAAATGAATGCAAAAACCAACATTTCAAACTAAATCTAAACCTTTACAATGTTGTCTTTGAGAAGTCTAAATGTACTGTATATCCAAATCCACAACTTGATAAAGAATAAGTAGTTGTCTAAAAACAATTTTTATAAGCCTTTTTATATGGAGCTCTAGACCTTATGTAGCCCCGCCCCTTTTCAGCTCTGCGCTCGTTGTCTTTTGACTTCCGGTCTGTATTTTGACATCTGCTCGTAAAAAATTTCCCGGTCGACATTTGTTAAGACATCTGAGGGGTATTGCACAAAAGTAGAATTAAGAAAGCCAGGATAACTGAACAGTCGCGGTTTGACCTAGTCTGATCAGTGCATCCTGGCTTAATCCGTTGCACGTTTGCTGAGCCAGGATGAGAACGCGCGGCTATGTCAAGCCAGGTGTATATAGTTTGGATAAATGCACGTTCACGGCATTCTTAAAAAGAGCGCGAAATCCAAAAATGGACAAAACGCGTGCGGCATACTTTTCACCTAATGAGCAACAGCTTCTTATGGAAACGTATGAAGAAGTGAAACATATAATGAAACATATAATATGTAAAAAAGCCAATACAGATGCTGTAATAAAACAAAGAGAGAATGCCTGGCAAACAATAGCAGACCGATTGAATGCTAAGTCCATAAATAACCACACTCTAAAAAAATGCTGGGTTGTTTTAAGCCAATTTTGGGTCAAATATGGACAAACCCAAATGTTGGATTTAAAAATGCAATTAATAAATTCAATCCAACAGCTGGGTTTGTCCATATTTGACCCAAAATTGGTTTAAAACAACCGAGCATTTGAGTGTGCAGTGCTCCATTGTAACCCTCATAATTACAATTTGAGGAGTTACTTGTCATTTAAAAAAATAATTGTATATTTTGCCTTAAATGTGACCAGTGGACATACATTTAACATGAAGAATAATTGCAAACACTTACCTACTATGTGTATATTTTATATATTTAGTTTATTTTATGTCTATTATCTCTTTAATCTTTTTACTCTTATCTATTTCTATGTAGGTTTTGTTTCTAATTGATTTAATGTAATCTATAATCAGATATTTTGCACTATTTTTATCCATCTAATCTATTTTATCATTTGTATCTATTCGTCTTAAAGAACAAACATGTCTGGCCAAAAAAGGACTTGGCAGAAAGTCTAGATTAAATACAAGAATATTTTGCAGGCTGGTAAGTGACTTGTCTGCAGAGAACATGGTGACATGTTTGCTGACATTTAATCGTCTGTGCTGATTTTAGCAATAAAAAAAAAAGTCATATATCTGGTACGGGGGTGGCCCTCCAACCCAAGACTTCACCACAGCACAGCACCACAGGCCTATAAAGGGAAGCCAGTGATTCCAATGGGTCTGCCCTATCTCGGATGACTCTTTCATGGCTGAATGCTCGTCTGAGTATTAAAACTTCCTCATCAACTACATCATCCAACAAAGGGCAAGCCATTGTGAATAGGAAAAACAAATCTTTAGTCTATATATACTATATATTGACCTTGTTGTTACATGAAACCACATTTACGACTTAATGAGCCATTTCTTATTATCTCATCAACTGCAATAAAATAGCCTATAATTTTTTTTTATCATTCAACTATACATTTATACTCTATTTGCATAGATATACATAGTCTTTCTATTTCTCATATTGTATAGTATAGTTCTTTTGCATTGTGTTGGCATTTATTGTGGACAGCAAAGTTATAATTGCTCAGGAAAATCTGCTTTCCTCACTGCAGGTGTATGCCAATAAACGCTTTGAATCTCAAATAATATATTCATCAAACCTCTGACAGTGAAATGAACAGCAGTTTTTAATAATAACTAAAATAGCAGTACGCATTCTTAGATGAATGGCAGTATATCTAGTATTTTAATGCAGGAGCATAAAGTAACTAAAACATTAATATCTAGTAGGATTTAGGGAGGAACTAGTCGATAAATCACTAGGATTAATCTTAGCCTGGTTGTTAGCCTGCTCTGGAGCAGGCTAGCTGCAAAGTGTAAATATCCATAGTAACTTAACGTAGATTAATTTAGCCTCCATTCGTGCAACCGAGTCAGGGCTAAATTCAGCCAGGATAACTGGAAAATCCCAGCTTAATCCCTTATCTTGCTTTTGTGCAATACCCCCCTGCTTTACAATGCTTATGATAAACATTACAATGCTCATGATAACTTTTGTTATCTCTACAATAAGTAAATCCACTTCACCAGCTAATTACTCCTCAACAGTGATGCCATAAAAATATACAGAGCGACCGCGAAACCGGAAGTTCAAAGACAATATTGTAAAGATGACGGCGCCCACGTTTCTCTGGTGCATAAGGTCTATATAGGAATCTACTAATGGTTAAACAGAACTCCCACCAGATGGCACTAATAATATATATATATATATATATATATTTTAAAGGCAGTATCTCTATTTTAACACGAAATACTGCTTTAATTGTTGAAATGCTGCTATAATACTATATGTATCATAATTATCACATTAATATCAATTAGTACCATGAAATTCTCTCAAAATACAAAAATATTACTGAACAAAAATATACTACATTTATTTAACTGAAGATAGCTTCATTTGGAGCTGAACTCCTCAGGAGCGGTTTGGAAACCCCTAATCAAACACATTCAGCTGATGTATTTCTGTCTCTCCTCCTCAGGCACAGAGCACAGAAAGGTCTGACCGAGCGCTTCGAACTCTTTGTGATGAAGAAGGAGATCTGCAATGCCTACACCGAGTTGAACGATCCCGTCAGACAACGAGAACTGTTTGAGCAGCAGGCTAAGGTGAAGCTAAACTCAAATTCCTCATTTTCTATGTTAAACTTGTCCTGAAGTTTAATTTCAGGGGAGTTTCTCTGTTTTCCAATTTTGTCCTTAAAGGGTTAGTTCACCCAAAAATGAAAATTCTGTCAGTATTTACTCACCCTCATGTTGTTCCAAACCTCTATGTATTTTTTCCTACTATGGTAGTCAATGGGGAATGAGATCTGTTTGATTGGATTAAATCATCCTTCCAAATATCTTCCTTTGTGTATAGCAGAACAAATAAACACAGAGGTTTGGAATAACATGAGGGTGAGTAAATCCTGACAGAATTTTCATTTTTGGGTGAACTAACCCTTTAAAAATATCAAACTTGACTCATCACGGAGACTCACTAGTAGCCTAGACTTGTTGTTTAACGACTGAGTTCTGTTTCCGGTAGGCGTGGCCTCCTAGGGCAGCGAAGCAAGTGCATTCTGGGAGTTGTTGTCTTTCATCCACATAAGCCAAAAGTAAATTTTCTGGCTTTTCTCAGTCTAGAAAGCTCCAAATTCAAAAATAATTTCTTCTACATAAATGACCCATTTTAAATACACATCAATCTTTCCAGAGGTGAAGTATCCCTTTAATTGGAGCCTAGCTGGTATGTGGCCAATTTCCCTAAGGAAAATAAAATCTAAAGCTGTAAACTACAGGAAACACCAGTTGGTGTTTCACAATTCATTTTAATTTCACAATCACAATTCAGGAAGCTTCTATTAGAACCAGACCGATATATCGGCCGGCCGATATTAGGCATTTTCCAAAATATTGGTATCGGCAGTTATAATGGCCGATAAATGAATATTTAAAAATAAAATAAAAACGGACACAACACGCTTTAATCATCTCTCCTTGTCCTGTTCTATTGAAAATGTGTGTTTTACAATTTGCAGTATGATGTTATCTATTGCTAAATTATGGCTCATCATAGACTAGCTAACCACAAAGCAAGCTAATGCCACTATCATCAGTGGAAGACCGCTAACGTTAACATTAATGAGCTTGGAAACCACAATGAACTTTTTCTGCCTAAATAAAGTAGGGGTGTCCATGGTTAACCGGTTAACCGATTAACCGTTTAAAATTCCATAACCGAGTGAAACCTTTTTGCTCGGTTAAGTGGCGTCAATACATATTTGCACAAAACTTTTGCGGGTTTTTTTTTCTGATTGTCGATAAAAAAAATATTGCGAAATGACAGCGTTTCTATTAACGGTGTTATCCGACTAAAACATTATTTTTTTTCCTTTCGCGATAAGCCATTCCAAAAATGATGGCAACGGACGTTGGTATATCACAGCCACCGCACTAGACATTATTTGTGTGAGGAGACGTGGTGTGTCATCCAAGCATTAATGGCAGGGAAAGTCACAGAGTTTCTGTGTGTTTGTCCCTCATTTCTGCTCCGCGGTCTTGATTGTGGCATTTCTTTGAGGTTTTGTCTAGTAGGCTATATTCCTTGTATCTTTTATGAATTTTATAAAAGAACTCTGCCTCGTATTATGTCCAAACGGTCTACTTTTGTGTTCATTCGTTTCCCCTTATTTAATCCGTTGGCCTAATTGCAAAATGAAAAATGAACGGTTGTTGTATTTTGTAAATAGTAAAGTTGAACACCAAAATGTTCATTTGAACTGTAGGCTTATACACCAAATGCTGCGCAAAAATATATAGGCTATATATAGGCTACATATTGACGAATTTGCCCCTTAAACATTTAAAATATTTGACAAATTAATATGAAAAAAAAAAGATTTTACTGGTTTTCTGAGGCCAAATTAGAACCTGGAAATGATCTTTTCCCCCGCAATGCTGAATGAGAAGAGCCGTAACCACAGCCTGCAGAAATGGGATTTATAAGTGATTTATATAGGCTATAATAAATGTGTCTGATAATAAAATAATATAAAATAACGAGGCATTAATTATTTATTAATAAACTTTTGTTTTCTAAATAATTTTCGGCTAAAAACAATTCTCCATCTCCGGATGCACATTTAGAGAGAAATTAATTAGCTACAATTACATAGTCAGAAGATATTGGCCTTCGATTAGAATTTGTTCATTTTAAATTGGACATTTAAAGCTTTAGCCTACAAAGGATATAACCCCTGTAGACTAAAGCTTTACATGTCCAATAGGGGTGCACGATATATCGAATCAATATCGTTATCGCGATATCACGTTGCTCGATATCCATATCGAAAGTGTCGCGATATTTACGCAATATTTTGTTTATGATGCGTCTGGTCCGACATGCACCGTTGCATTTCCCCCCGACTCATTTCCTGATTCTCCTTCTCCATAAACAATATTAAATCAAGAGAGGTTTAACTTTTCATGCTACAGATTTCCCACAGTGGTCAGAAAGAACAGGAGAGACACTTTGTTTTTCTCAATATAAAGTCGCTACTCGCTCCAAAGCTAACCGCCGTCACTCTCTCACTTCTCCCTTGCTCTCCAACCACACAGTCCCACACACACACACTTGCCGGCGGCTCGACGCGCACACCAGCGCACAAGTATAAACATCAGGCCACGGTCCACCTGGCAACTTCATGCGTTTTCACTGATCGGATAGCTATCTGATTTATCAAAATACGATCTTCAATTCCCGCGCTATATGCAGATTTAATGGAGTGCACGTCACAGAAAGCAACAGTTATGAGCTGCGTTTTATGATCATCAGGTAAAATAAGATCAGTTCGTTTATTTACTTCTAATGAAGATAACTGTGAAAAACGTCTGCGACTTACTTTCACTTTGATAGTAAATGTTCACAGCAGCTGCTCATCTGCGGTGATGCGTGTTGCAGTCGCGCGCGTCGCGCCATAACATGACGAGCCTGTAACGTTCTCATTTTTTAGCGTTTTTGGAAGGAGTACATTTTGTGGTTTATTTAATAACGAGATGCATTTACATTTGTCCAGTTCAACTGAAATGCGGCCCAGACCACCTCCTGAAGTGGTTTGAGCGATTAGATTCAAATACGTCACGAATGCGTTTCACAGGGCATTTACATCTGGTCTTTTCACGGTCATAGCTATCCGGTCAAAGAAAACACATATAGTGGCGTTTATGTTGCATAGTGTGTTCTGTAGACTTGCTATTTATTTATTATCTTTTACACTGTAGTGTACACAACTAACATGTCCTGTTCTGTTGACATATTATTTAGGCCTATTTATTAATGCTGTACCAGTCCAATATTACTGTCAGTTGAAATAAATCTTATGTTGTAAGAAAACTTGTTTTATTTATTAATCTTTTTGATGCGTTTTCCAATAACTTTTGTAGTTTTACATCCGTTTAAAAATATCGAAATTAATATCGATATCGCAATATTCATTATCGATATCGCAATATCACATTTTTGTCAATATCGTGCACCCCTAATGTCCAATTTAAAACGAACAAATCCGAATGCGGTGGCTGTTTCAGTTCTCGCGCTTTTGTTAAAGTACAACATTTTCTTGTTATTGTGAGTTTACGCAAATAAATGTATTTGCGAATAATGCATTATTATTTTCTGTATGACCAGAAATGAAAGAGTATTTTACGTTGTTTGTTTCCACTGAAAGAACTGCAAGTGTTCACATGGGCGTCTCGCAGCCATCAATGCGCGCTTCACACACACTGGATATGCGTAAAAAATTTTGTGTTTATTTGTGCTTTGTTCCTTTTTTTGGATAAAGGCGTCTTCTACATAATATGCAGCCTAATAAAATGTTACAATAATGATGATTATTATTATTATTTGCAGACACGGAGTTAATGTGCTTATTTTCAATTGGCAATTTCATTTTGAAGGGTGACGGAAACGCACCTACTTTAACTGCTCTGTACTTACCACTGCGTTTTATTTCTATAAATTAATTTCGTTTCAAATGGGGTGCAACCAGTTATTAAAAAGGTGTTAAAAATTAACTCTGTATCTCGAGGTTGCGGCGCGCACATGGTTAACCGAGTATTAACCCATAAGGGCCTCGGTTAACGGTTAATGAAAAACTTGAAAACGTGCAGCCCTAAAATAAAGTAATGATTACTGTATTTATAACTAGCATATCTCTAGTTACAGTCCCTGCATTGTAAAATGTAAGTTATACTTGTGAGGAGTGAACATTTAGACATAGAGAAAAAGTGTCAAACGTATCTTGTGCAGAAAAGTTAGCTTTTCTTTTACACGTGTGTGAAATCCAACAATATTTAATAAAAAAATATATATATCGGCCGATATATCAGCTTTTAAAACCCAAAAATATTTGTATCGGTATCGGCCTTAAAAAATCCTTTATCGGTCAAGCTCTAGCTTCTATCAGTAATGTGGTACGGACCACGCATTTTACAAGATAAGATAAGATGTCAATGACATCTCAGGAACAGTTGCACATCAAATCCTCAGACATCCTCCTGTCAGTCATCTCTTTCTAATATATTTACGTGATGTACTGTAATGTAACCGACCACAAGTTAGCAAGTCTAACTTGTCCTTCGAATTCAGAATTGACTTGGCGCATCACTAACATAAGCTGCTTTAATTAGAAAGTAACCTCCGGGTGAATGAATGTTCATATTTTGTCCACAGGCCAAGGCGGAGGGTGACGATGAGGCGATGTTTATTGATGAGACCTTCTGCACTGCCTTGGAGTACGGGCTTCCACCCACGGCAGGATGGGGCATGGGCATCGACCGGCTCACCATGTTCCTCACAGACTCCAACAACATCAAGGTATGACCCACCATGACACCTTTTCATTAGAACTGCAGCCCTGTAAATAAATCAGTCAAAGATGATGATTCTGTGGATAGTTTGTCATTAAAACTCAGTCTGATATGAATTGATGTGCTCTACTTCAGGAGGTGCTTCTCTTCCCTGCTATGAAACCTGAAGATAATAAAGCAGCTTCACCTGCAGAGGGCACATCCGTGTAACACACCTGAGGATTTCATCCGTCTCTGGATTTCTTGATTCAACCTGAACTGTCCATTTTGTTGTCACTGAATATTCAAGACCTATGCACTGTTCATAATGAAAGGAAGGATTTCAGCAGTTATTTTAACTCACAGTTTAATGGGGAATAAGAACCCTGTTTTCTTTTCTCTGTTGCCTGTTGTCGATTTCCTGGTGAATAAACAATATGTTTCTCAGACATATTTGGATGTTTTATGATCTTCTCTCCAACTGTATGTTTTTAACGATGGCTGTTCAATTGAATCCCATTAAATAATGACTTGTTAAACCCAAACGGTTTGTTTCTATATCACAGATTGACATCTCATCTTAGTTTTCTCTCCTTTTTTTCCAATTTGCTCAAAATATAATGTTATTTTAAAGCAGCATTTAATGGTAATTGTAATAGTTTGCAATGGTTTCACAAACAGGGCTTAGATAAGCCAGGGTTTGGCCTTGGGTAAATTAGGACATTTAAGTTGCTTTTATTAACTTCATAAACAATATGGGTGTGCTGTGCATCTCGTGACAAAATAAGGGCGCTGACATATTTTAAGATATGTCCGTGCACGTTGCTTAAAACAGCTCAAACATGCATTTTAGTCTGGGACTAGTTTAAGACTCGTTTGTGAAACCGGGGGAAAATTTCCCAACAAGTATGAATATCATTGCATTAGAAAGCAAAACAAGTGTATTTTAACCATTTATTTTATAGAATGAATGTACAATATTTGATATTTCAATATAATCAGAACATTTTACTGTTTTATAAAACTATTAGTATTTTACAATAATGTGACAACGTTAGTGGACCATGTTTAATTTAATGAAAAACACCTGTTCAAGTAATTGAAAAAAAAAATGGCTAAGAAGATAAAAGGTGTAACTTTTCATTTTACAGATGTCACTTGGTTTGATATATGTATATATGGCTTAAATATCCACATATTTTGGGGGCCCCTCTAGAAACTGTATGAACGTTGTCTTTCAAAATCAATGGATTTGATTCTACTCACTGTGCTACACACTCATCTTTTTGCTTTCGTAATGCTTGGACTTTGTATAATGGCTCGTTTAGTCTGTGCCAATGTTCTTGTCGTTATCGATATCTCTGTTGTCAGTCTAACTTATCAGCACCGTGAGGTCCCCTGTTTAGCGTGAGCGCGCTTCTCGCCTCTGTCGCGCGCCTCTCGCTCGGTCAAGTGCATCAGGGCTGGTATTTCATGTGTGAAGCCCAGACTCGGTGAAGATGGCGATGTGTGCGGCGCTCAGATGCGTTTCGACAAACTTTTCGGCAGCATTGCCCCTGCTCTCGAGACCTGCACATATCTGGACGTGCCAAAACTCGCTAAGACCAAACATATTGAGGACGCTTTACACGAGCTCGCGGCTTTCGGGAGGTAAAAACTTTATTGAACTCACGGTTCCCACGTTTTACATCTCACATTTAAGTTCGCTTTTCCGTAAGGACTGCAGCCATTCCTGTTTGCTGTTTTGGTCTTTTCAAGAGCTTTAACGTGCTGGAATCTAATGTGTGTATCAACAGAGTTGGTATTGAGATTATAAACGTTCGTTACATTGGAACTTTGGTGGTTCGTTTGTTACGTCATGACCGTCTCGTGCGTTTTATTCGTAAGTTAACGTCGATTTTTAACTCTTCCGTTTCACTGGTCTCTTTATTTTTGCAACTTTTTTGTATTGTTTTGATTTATTTACCTAGTCCGTGTAATGTCAAGGTCATTTTTGCTGACGCTTGCAATTGCATCGGATCAAACTCGTCACGCACTATTTTTCTCGCCTCAGCATTATGTAGTTATGAGATCTTAAAATATGGCTATTTAAATTTAATACCGTGCTCGTGCCTTTGGAGTTTGATTAGATGTCCCTGACTCCACATTATATCTCACCGAAATCTGTCATTGACAAATATGTGTGTGTGTGTGTAATGTTTATATGAAACTACATCCATGCATCACCTCCCTATGTTCCCTCAGTTGCCTCAAGATCAGAAATAACAACATTAGTGTTTTGCATAAAGCCCAGCCATGCTACAGCATTCAGCCCTGCTCACAATCTGGTTTAAACCTGTATTGTTTCTGCATGGGCTGATGCTAGAATCCGACTCAGTTGAGGCATTACCCCTCTGGGAGTCCTCAGCACTGGTGCATTGGTGTGCCTATGCAGTTTATATTATTTTTTATATCAAATTATGACTGCTTGTTTCTGAATCAGGTCCTATGCAAGGGATATTGAGGCATCCTGACATACTTGTTCATACGGAAGTGGATGTTTAATGTGAATCACTTATCATGTGAACCTAATTAGGTTACTTTCTTGTACAGAAACACTAAGAAACCTGTTTGAAAGGCAGTTATTTTGCAGTTACCCGACACAGAATTTAAAATTCATCAGCATGCCCTAACATGACCTTTTTACTGTCTTCTACCCTCAGTGACTGTCATGTTCAGTACAATGGAATGATAATGTAGTTTCGGAGTTAAAAAACAATGCAGTGAAATGGAGAGACTGATCTGGAAATAATTAATGTGTCGTTAGCCTCATGGAGTTCAAATGGTCAACTATTATCAGTCAGGAAGTTAATATTTATATAATAATTGTCCTTGGAAAAAAGTGAGTGTTTAAAGTAATAGCAAATACTAGTGGTGCTCATGTCATTCCAACCCCATATGACTGACACACACATACAAAGCATGTAGTAGTTTACATGGAAACAATGCTATAATTAAAACTAGTTTTTTTTTTTTACGTTTGCCCTGAAACACTGTTGTCGTGTAAATAAATAAACTGCAAAATGCATAAAAAGACTTCTGTTTTTAGTAGGGCTGTGCAAAGATTAATTGCGATTAATCGCATCCAAAATAAAAGTCTGTGTTTATATAATATATTTGTGTGTGCTGTATATAATTATTTTGTATATATAAATACCTATGCATGCATGTATATATTTAAGAATGATTTGCGCTTAAATTCTGTATATATATATATATAAATACATAATCTATATTAAATAAATATAAATATTTTATATATGAATAACACATTTTCTTAAATATATACATGCATGTGTTTGTAATTATATGTACAAAATAATTATATACAGCAGACACAAATATATTATGTAAACACAGACTTTTATTTTGGAATGCGATTAATCGCAATTAATTTTTGCACAGCCCTAGTTTTTAGTTGAAACAGGTGCTGTTTGAAACGTACCATTGGACATTTGAAAGGCCCGTTCTTTGTAATTGCATGAAAAAGATTTTGTCTTCCACAGTAGAAAAAAGTCTCTAGTGTTTAACAATTTTATTACTATTTTGACAACTATTAATTATAATAAAATGCTGAAATTACGGAAACTCAAATTTAAATAAATTAAATATATAGAAATATTTTTTTAAATGACAAAAGCACAAACTAAAATTGAAGTGAAAAATAAAAGCTCAGTTAAAATATTGATAAATACTAGTATAAAAATAACAGTATAACACTAGGTGAGAGTGAGTAATTGACATTGACACTAAACCAAATCCACCTGCAAAGGTTAGCATCAAACCAAAAAAATCATAATGCCTGCTAATGCTGCTGTACGCAGGGAAGGAGACCATAGACTGACTTTTATTGAATGGATGCCAATGGAGGAGAGGCTTCACTATGCTGAATATGGCTTATTTAATGAATCGACAGTCCTTTGGGTAATCTTTAACATGTTTGCTCTTAAACATTTGTTTTGGATTGATCTATTTTAAAGGGATAGTTCACTTTGAAATTAATTGTTGAGATGTTTTAGCTTACCTCAAGGGTATCCAATATGTAAGTGTCTTTGTTTCCACAGTAGTTTCAATTTTGATATTTTTTGGTCAAACCGTTCTTGTCTGTCAGTCATATAATGCAGGTCTATGGTCACCACCTCAAAGAGCATGCACAGAGAAGTCCAAATTAAACATGATTTAATGACTCAAGTACACATTGATGGCCTAAGACATGAAACGAGTGGTTTGTGTGAGAAAACAAACAGTATTTATATCATTTTTACCTCTTGTAAACACAGCCACATCCAAGTGATCTGAGGGCGCGAGCGCTTTGGTCTGTGCAAGCGCCGGAAGTGATATCTCGCGCCTGTACGTCACTCGATGTTTACACAGAGATTTTGGAAGTGTTACCTTTCACTGTGAAGATCTAAACATGTTTATATACATGAAATCTCAATGGAAGGTGATTTCGACATATCAACAGACAACAGTGAATTTCTTCTCAACGCGCGAGAGATCACTTCTGGCGCTTTCCAGCGTTTGCGCAGACCGAAGTGCCCGCGGCCTCAGATCACTTGGACGTGGCTGTGGTAACAAGAGGTAAAAACGATATAAATACTGTTCGTTTTCTCACACAAACCGCTCGTTTCATGTCTTAGGCCATCAATGTGTACTTCCATTTACGAGTCATTAAATCATGTTTAATTTGGACTTCTCTGTGCATGCTCTTTGAGGTGGTGACCATAGACCTCCATTATATGACTGACAGACAAGAACGGTTTGACCTAAAAATATCAAAATTGAAACGACTGCGGAAACAAAGACACCTACATCTTGGATGCCCTTGAGGAAAGCTAAAACATATCCAAATTAATTTCAAAGTGTTTACACTGAAAAAAATGCTATTTTTTAAGAAAAGTCACACTCGATTGCATAAACAGGTATGATTCAGTTTACGCCACTTCTCATGGTATCTACAAACAGTGATTGACTGTCGCACAACTCGGATCAAAATTCTGTGACGTCAAGACTGCCATGTGATTGGTTATCAAGGCAAACGTGATCCCAATAATAAGACCATCTCTGCTTTAACTGATTGTTCTGTTTATCTTGATCTTTTTACGATTAAAATTCTCTTTATTAATCAAATTGTCTTGTGTTTACAGCTCTGAAGTTTACAGACAAACACGAGTGGGTGCGAGTGGAGGGCGGTGTGGGTACAGTGGGCATCAGCAACTTTGCTCAGGTTTGCTCTCCTCTATAAAGAAATGGGTGTCAAGACATGGTGTCAGTTCAGTTTCAAATGTTTTATCCTTATTTTTACACTTTTTACTGCTGAAACGCTATGAACCCTGTTACCTCACTCGCTGTTCCACCAGTGGGACATTTGCCATTATATATAATATCTTAATCTATACCTGTTAGTTAGGCAATGTTCAGACTGCCAGCAAAATTCAATATTTTGCATATACAGATTTTATCCAGATGGGTTTTTGATAGTCTGGACTTGGAAACACACACACAATGAATCAGATTTGAAAAAAACACATTTGGAGGTGGTTTGAAATGCGATTGCAATCAGATTCTTACAGATGCGTCTTTGGCTGCTCAAATCGGGATTTCAAATTGTCTTTTGCATCACTCCTAACACTAAGGATAACATCAAAACTGATGACGGAAATACAGGATATTCATACATGTATACCAGTCTCCTCCACACAAATCTTATTTGATTATTACCAATTAATAATTAGAGGAAAAAATTCTGACTTGCCTGCAGTCTGAACATAAAGCCTTAAAGGAGTAGTTCACTTTTAAAAAAAAAACTTTTGCTGATAATTTACTCACCCCCATGTCATCCAAGATGTCCACGTCTTTCTTTCTTCAGTTGAAAAGAAATGAAGGTTTTTGATGAAAACATTCCAGCATTTTTCTCCATATAATGGACGTCAATGGGAACCAAACAGTTGAGCTCATTTTTTTGTACATTTGGAGTGCTGTCAGTACAGACAAAAACAACAAAAATCGGTGTTGCCATACACCGTGTTATCGTCTTATTAAAATTCGCACCCTGTTGACTTCAATGGGGCAAGTTCTAAACCTGCTTTTAGCCTCTTAAAATCCTTGATTTGTCATTACGGGTGCACAGCCATGTGAGTGGTGTTATTAAAGGAGAACTGCGGCGCAAAATGAACCTTTGGTCTAATAAAGCATTGATCGTTCCCTGAGATTTGTTTTCATGATAATCGAATGTAAAGAGTTTTATCTCTAAAAACTGTTTAGCTTATAATGCTAGTATATGGGGGCATATAATAAGTAAAAATAAATCGCTAGTTAATACCACTAACAGGGCTCAAAATAGCCCCACACTAGCACAGTAACATAATGAGGGTCCATACATGCAAAACGAAGCATTGAGAACTTCGAGACTGTTTTCTCCTGCCTGTTTTTGCGAAGTAGACTGTCTTTATAAAGTATCTTCTTATTAAACGGTCTGTACACTTACAAAGTTCTCAATGCTTCGTTTTGCATGTATGGACCCTCATTATGTTACTGTGTTAGTGTGGGGCTATTTTGAGTCTTGTTAGTGGTATAAACCAGCGATTTCTTTTTACTTATTATATGCCCCCATATACTTGCATTATACGCTAAACAGTTTTTAGACATAAAACTCTTTACATTTGATTATCATGAAAACAACAGAGAACGGTTAACTAGGTACCGATGTTTTTTTTAGACCAAAGGTTCATTTTGCGCCGGAGTTCTCCTTTAAGAGTGACCACGGTCTATCTGACTGCAGTAGATGTGAAAGATATGAATAAAAATGATGTTAATTCAGCCATCTCACATACCTCTATTTGCTTCCTGTTTTCTGTCAAAGCCCACAGTAGTCGATTGTCGATCTCACGCGTGCGATCGTTAGTGAATTTCATATTGACAGCACTCCAAATGTACAAAAAAATGAGCTCAATGTTAAGTTCTCCTTTAATGGTCTTAAATGTACTTCTTCTTTCACCATAGGAAGCTTTAGGTGATGTGGTGTACTGTGGGCTTCCAGAAGTGGGAACAAAGCTTGAACAAATAGGTGAGAATCATTTGAAATCTCCGAAAATCTTTTGCCTGTTACAGCACAGGCGATTAGGATTGTATTTCTTTCCCAGAGGAGTTTGGTGTTTTAGAAAGCGTCAAAGCTGCGAGTGAGCTGTATTCTCCACTGACCGGAGAGGTGACCGAAATCAACACAGATCTGGCTGATAACCCTGCACTAGTAAATAAAGCCTGCTACGAAGACGGTGAGTGCAGCCCAGTTCACCAAATACTTGACATGCTTGTATGATATACTGCTAAAACATCCCTTTCTCCTTGAAGGATGGTTAATTAAGATGACCATAGAGAAACCTGCAGAACTTGATGAACTCATGGATGAAGCTGCTTATGAAAAATTCATCAAATCCCTTGATTCATAAAGGCTTTCAGACCTTTCTTGATCATTTAAGGATTCACAACGGCTACTTTATAGTGCTGATGGTAGAATGAGTACTAATATGATTCTTTTGAAATCTATTTATTTTGGTTTTGTAATTTCTTTTTCCACCAAAATAATCTTTTGTAATGTGCCAGTTTAACAAACTTTTGCCGTCAAGAGCCAAATATTTCAAAGGGCTTTTGGATACGGTCTGAGGTGCTTTACATGGACTCATGTATACAAAGAAGAGGGCTGATTGTCTTAAATAGTATGTTTTCCAGTATAACGTAACATGACATGCAATAAAATCGGAAATGTAACATTTTGGAGCCACGGTCTGCTTCTGTGTTCAGATTCATATTGTAATTTATTGTTTTCATACCTGCAATACACAATCAGTTGAACACATGTGAAAGTACTTACAGCAAATACTTTCATCATATTTGACCAAAATATCTACAATACCGTTTAAACGTTTGAAGTTGGTCATGTTATTGAAAGAAGTTTCTTATGCTGACCTAGGCTATATTTAATTGAGGAAAAATACAGTAAAACTAATATTTAAAATAATAATAAATAATATTTTCTGTTTAAATATATTTCCAAATGTAAATGTAATTTTTCCCTGTCAATTTTTAGGAGTCTTCAGTGTCACATGATCCTTCAGAAATCATTTTGATATGACGATTTGCTGCTCAAGAAACGGTTCAATGTTGCAATGCTTAATATTTTCGTGGAAACCGTGACTAAATCTTTTCAGGATTCATTGATGAATAGAAAGTTCAAATGAACAGCATTCAAATATATTTTTTTGTAAAGATTATCACAGGAAATTCACCAGTTTGTTTTCTTTGTTGGCAAATGGCACTAAAATCCTTTGATTCTGAGAGAAGTGTAGGCTGTGTCCAAAATCCCCACTCAATCAAACCACTACTCCCTACCCCCTATGTAGGGAGTAGCGAGCTCACTGTATAGTCCACTATATAGTGAGTAGTGGGAGATTTCGGACACAGCCACTGAGAAAGAAGGAAACATGGCCGCCTCCCGGCCCAACACTCCTTGACCTTTGCCCTTAGATTAAAAGATTGATGAGTTTTAGTGTTCTGATGATCAATGATTAATGAAGGGGAGATCACAGTATCTCTTTCTGCCTGAAGAAAATCTGAAACCTGTGTTAAAGAATTCACATTAGATTTCTTTCATATAACTCTTTGATTTAGATGTTTATAACATTGCTTATTTTGGTCACTATAAACGGATTGTATCTGTAATACTGATTAATAGTAATCTATTCTAGGATCTCCATGTAATGAAATTCAAACATCTCTGGTAGCAAAACACATATGGCTATGGTTTGAGCATGCAAATGAATTGAAAATGAAAATTGACTTTGATAACATAGGCTAAGTGTCGAAAACAAACGAATATATTATTATCTAAGCCTTTGTTTTACCATACCAACAGCTTTTGTTTTAAAACTTACAAACAAGCCAGTTTGAATTCAGAAAGAACCTGTGTGGCTCTAACATTCCTGATATATCCTACCATGTTTTCTGACTTGCATCGCCCCCTAGTGATTGATTTTAATCCTCTCATTAGACTGCAGACACTCGCTGAATAATTATTACTTTTCAGAAATCCCATGGAAATATCAGAGAATTTCAAAATGAAAATATTACAGATCGTGCACATGTGTCTATAAGTAATATAATATAGTTCAGTTATTAAGTAGGTAGGTATATTTACAATCCATTAAAAAAATCCTTATCAAGATATCGATAATGACTGCAAAAGTCATGTAAGTCTGGTCGTTTTTCAGTGTGGGAGCCCTATACAAGTTTGTCAAAACCGTCTGTTACTGTTTGTCCAACAACATTACTGAAATAATGAAGTATTTCAGAGTGTGTTAAGGTGCTTTTATATTTTAAAATATTATTATATTTTTAGTATTTAATTCCTTCCACTATATTTTTTCCAGGTTTGCTTTTGAATAGTTGATTTAGTTCACAGCGACCAACAAACGGGTCGCTGTGAACAGAGCTGTTTTTGAGGAGGTATAAAGGGTGTTGTTTTACACAACCATTGAGGAATTTTAACTGAAGTATGTTACAAACTTTACATGAAGACCCTAAAGGCCAATTTATACTTCTGCGTAGGGTGCGCGCAGTAGGTACGGCGTAGCATACGCACAGACGCGTCCCATACCGCGTACCCTTCGCCGTCGCCTGACGCGCACCTCCTCAAAAATGTAACTACACGTCGCGACGACGCGGACCGCAAGATCGGTGATTGGTCGGCTTGGTAGCATCGCATTTCCTCCTACGCATTTCCGCACGTACCTTCTCACGCATTTCCATCACTGTCTATGATTTCCACAAGTTTCATCTCCTCCGAAGTCTTCTCTCATTTCTGCCTTTCAGTTTTAGTAATTTCACTAAAGTGAACTGTTTTTCCACCTTAATAAGCTCCAATTCCAACATGATCAGCTCTCTTTCACTCGTAGTAACCTAGCCGCGAGGAATCTAAACACAGTGGAACATTAAAACTCTCCGCCGCCAACTAGCGTTTCGGAGCAGTACTGCAGAGCAACCAAGACCTGAACGCAGAAGTATAAATGCTCACAACGGCGTCGCCTACGTGCGTAGCCAACGCCGTACATTACGGCGTACCCTCGACGCAGAAGTATAAATTGGCCTTAAGGTTCATACCAACTTGTGGAAAATGGGCATGCGATGAATAAACACTACTACAATGTACCGGATTAAAGAACATCTTTTTACACATTTATTTTACACATATTGCCTAAGAAACTACTATTTAATCTAATATAAGTCGTCATACAATTTTATCTGCAGATAAACAAAATATAGTCTCTGTAATTTAGTCTGTATGTGTTCTGCATATGCCTGTTTCTAGTCTTGACTTATCATGTTGGATCGGGGAGGAAGTTGGAAATTGCTGAAATGATCATGTGACTCCTATCTTAACCGTAATTAATGGAATGGATGGTGTTACAACTATAACACAGACTAGTACTGGTCAAAAAGGAAGCAACATTTTTTAAGTTTTTTTTTTTTTAATAGGTCTCTTATGCTCATCAAGCCTGCATTTGTTTGAAAAAATTGTAATATACAGAAAAAAAAAACTGAATTATTATTACAATTTATGCTTTTCTTGTTTAATATACTTTCAAATATAAATATGGAGAATTTTCATCAGTATCATTACTCCAGTCTGTCATGATCCTTCAGAAATTATTCATGCTGATTTATTATCAATGTTGAAAACAGTTTTTGGTGCTTAATAATTTTTTTAAGAACCTGTGATACTTTTTTCAGGATTCTTTGATGAATAAAAAGTAAATAATAATAATAATAATAATAATAATAATAAAATAACATTTACTTAAATATAAATATTCTGTAAGTTTACACTACCGGTCAAAAGATCGGGGTCAGTCACAGTCTTTATTTGAAATAAATTTATATTTGTATTCAGTTATACTTTTATATTGTTAGAAAATAATGATATTTTTGAAAAAAAGATATAATTATTTTAAGAAAAAAAGATTGATAATAAATCAGCATATTAGAATGATTTCTGAAGTACACTAAAGACTGGAGTAATGGTGTTGAAAATACAGCTTTATTACATCACAGACGTAAATTATATTTTACAATAGAAAATCATTATTTTAAATGTTAATCAAATAAATTATTTTTGATCAAATAAATGCAGGCTTGATTAGCATAAGAGATTTCTTAAAATATTAAAAATTGCTGGCTACGTTAATGTTTCCAAACTTTTAACCGTTATGTACTTCTGCAAAAAAAAAAAAAGAAAAAAAAGAAAAAAAAAATTGCGTTTACCCATCAAATTAACGCCTTTACATTTACGATCATGCGTCATAGCCTATGGTAGTCCGATAGCAACTATAAGTGGTCGAATAATTTTCTAAACATTTAATAATAAAACTATCCGTTGTCGAACTTTTAATCTACGTCCCAACCACGTGCAAATTTGTCGCAACATGTTCCGGCTTCACACTTCCGGTTGACTGGCGCGTTGTTCATTGCCATTGGCTCTTTTCTGCACTTCCCATATAACCCTGCGTTGTCATTTCCTTTTCCCTTTCAGCCATTTTCCGCTAAAGACGGTATGTGCATTTATTCCGGCTAAACATCAAGTTTATCCGTTTTAATCCTCAGTATCTCTTTATTGTTTTGTAATTTAAGTAGTCCAACATTAAAATGTGCTTTGTTTTACATGCGAACCAGTCTGTATTGTTGGTGTTTTCTTTTCTTAAGAGAGAAAAAAAGACAATATTAGGACACGGTACCGTGTTGCAGCGTCACACTAACATTTTAATGTCTATTTTAAGTGTTAAACCTTCACTCATGAACCAGTCAACTGTTTAAATACTTCCTCAAACGACTCCGCAGATGTGTGTTTACTGTCGTTTTCTCCTGAACTGATTACTTTGCGCCTTGTTCCACATGTACGAGTCTTCGACAGGCACTGGCTTAACGTTAGCTCATATGGATTGACTGTCTCGGCTTGTGCGTTTGATTTACAATATTTGCAAGGATGTTCTAATAGCTTTTCTGATCTTGCAGTTCTTACAAGAACCAATCAAAAGCGCAAAGCTTTTAACCCTGGTAGAAGTAAATGTGAACATGGACCAGGGAGCTGCATACTTATGATATTTGTTTTGTATTAGGAGTGAACAACCATGGCTCCCAGCCGGAATGGCATGATTTTGAACCCTCACTTCCACAAAGACTGGCAGAAGCGAGTCCGCACCTGGTTCAACCAGCCCGCCAGAAAGCTCCGCAGGTAACAGGTTTGGGCTGACAAATGTGTTAATTGTTCATTATGGAAAATGCTAGTTGATAAAAATGTTGCTTTTTCCTCAGACGAAAGGCCCGTCAGGCAAAGGCTCGCCGTATTGCTCCAAGACCAGTTTCTGGACCTCTGCGACCCATAGTCAGGTGTCCAACCATCCGGTATCACAACAAGATCCGTGCCGGACGTGGTTTCACCCTGGAGGAGTTGAAGGTAACTTTGGTGCCTAGTTGTGCTAGATTTTAAAGATTTAGTTCACCTAAAAATTAAAATTGTGCCTTTACCCAACCTCATGTTATTCCAAACTAGGGCTGTCAAACGATTAATCGTGATTAATCGCATCCAAAATAAAAGTTTGTGTTTACATAATAGATGTTGGTGCACTGTGTATAATTATTTTATATATATAAATACACACACATGCTTGCAGAATTTTTAAGAAATATTTTCATGTATATACTGTATATAGATTTACATATAATTTATGTTATATATAAATATCAATATTTTTTATATAAATATTTTTTTCCTAAAATATACATGGATGTGTGTGTATTTGTACATGTACAAATTAATTATACACAGTGCACCCACATATATTATGTAAATAGATACTTTTATTTTGGATGCGATTAATCATTTGACAGCCCTATTCCAAACGCTTAAGCACAAATCAGGAAATATTTTAATCAAACCTTTGAGGTGTCTCTCTCCATTGAAAAGTCCAGATAACCAAAACTTAAAAGGTCCTAAATGCGTTGTAAAATTATTCTTACTGAATCGAATGGTTTAATCAATTCTTGTGAAGCGATGCAAAAACTGCATGAGAAATGAATCTGCAAAATCCTTCGAAATCTAATCCACGCATACATAGAGCACATCACATATGGTAAATATGTACAATATTTTTTTGGGTGAACTATCTCTTCAACTCTTATGTAGTTCATAAAGTGCACTTGCAGTCATTTCAGACAGTCAAATGATGACAATTCTCCGGAATCGCTGTACTTCCTTGATGATCCACGAACCCTTTTTGCTGATGACTGTTCTTGACTCTGTTTGAGTGTCAGGGCTGTTCCAGCATTATCACGTCTCACATGTCTGTCGCACCGTAATCTGCCCATACAGGCGGCAGGAATCAACAAGAAGGTGGCCCGCACCATCGGCATCGCCGTTGACCCCCGCCGGCGTAACCGATCCACAGAGTCTCTGCAGTCCAACGTTCAGAGGCTGAAGGTGTACCGCTCCAAACTCATCATCTTCCCAAGGAAGGCTTCTGCACCCAAGAAGGGAGACAGCACTGTAAGTTCACTTTAGTTTTACTGTCTTCAGTGTTTGCAGTCAAGTGATGACAATTTCTCCGGAATCTCTGCACATCCTTGATGACTTTTGAACCCTTTTTTAGCTGATGACTGCATACTATTCAACTATAATTCTCCTTTTTGTGTTTTTGTTGGTCTTTTGACTGTTTGCTGCTTTTTTTGTGTGTAGGAGGAGGAGATTAAGATGGCCACACAGCTCACTGGACCTGTCATGCCCATCAAAAACGTACGTATCTTATCTTTTAACCATTTAAAGTCTACTGCATGGTTTTTTTTTAAGTCCTGGTGCATATTGCATTATTGTAAAATTTCAAGACTTACACATGCTCGACAAGAGACTTTAAAAATGATCCGTTTAGTGTTGTCACAATACTGGAATTTCTAACTGATACAATTTATATATATATATATATTTGATTTACATTTGATACCACAGGGAAAAACTGCCGTGGATCTTTCTTTTTTATCCATTAAGTTTCTAGGGGAATAAAATGTTCAAGCTTCAAAAAGTACATGATGCATAATAGTAATCAATATCAATCGAGCGGTTTAATCCTAGTCTTTAATTTAGGGTTTTATTCATAAACATTGAGAAAACATTTAGGCGAGAATTTTAATGGTAATTGGTTACGTTAAGTATGTTCAATTTTGTTGCATGGGATTACACAGCACAAGGACGCTCAAATAAACAAATTACCTTATTTCTGTGGCAGTGCCATTGTTTTGTCTCAAGATGCTCTTTAGCTCAAGAACTAAGAACTTAATCTGAGCCCTATCTGTGAAATCGTGCGTTTAAGTAGTAGCACAAAAACAATAGACTAAATTTGCTGAAATTCAGGCCCTGTGACCCCAACACTATTCAGCCGAAGCGTATATGAAAAGTGAGTGAGAGAAGGTGTGTGTCTGAGCAGCAGGTATCATGTATCGATACTGCAGTAAATAAGTATTGGAACAGTTTTGGATATTTCAGTATTAAAAATCTATATTTGACAACACTAGATCATTAGACTTTTGAGGAAAGCTGCGATTGCACGATTGACCGGAACCGGACGATTTTCACGTGATCGGCAACTGGCCGGTCAGTCTGACATAATGCCGATTTTATGCCGGTCAAATTCACTCGTAACATCAGTATCGCACGGAACGCACATACGGCCCTTTCACCTCTTATTTACATCAAGCGTGAGCGGCGCATATTTTTTTCGCCGTGCAAATTAATCAATGTGTGCATTCACACCGGGAGCAGGAGCAGCGCGCGAGCAGGAGCGTTTTTGCTGTGGGGCTCACGCTCAATTAAAGTGAAAGCACTTCTGATGAAGGAAAAAAAAAAGGATTTAAAAGTGCCCAAAATGCACAGAATTTGCCTGTCGTGTGTAACTGGAATAGGGTGTGTCAGAAAAGAAAATGTACCCATTTAAACTTGTTTTTATTATTGAGTTTGAGTAGAAGTATATGGTGTAATACATGTATAGAAAATAAATATTTGTATTTTTGAAAATAAAATTGGTTTGAAAAATAAAGTATCGGCAGGTCAAACTCAATGAAAATCGGAAATCAGAATCGGCCTAGAAAATTGTAATCGGTGCATCTCTACTCTCAATCGTTATCATTGCATTATGTTTTGCCCCCCACAATAAAAACTACATCTACAACTAAGCATTTAAAAACCATTTTCCTAAGACAGGGATCCAATCCTGTTCCTGAAAAGCCAACGTCCTGCAGATTTTAGCTCCAACACACTTGGCTGGACGTTTCTATGAGTCTCTGAAGACCCTGATTAGCTGGGTTCAGGTGTTTAATAAGGGTTGGAACTGAACTCTGCAGGACAGTGACCCTCCAGGAGTAGGATTTGACATCCCTGTAGTAAGATATATTATTGGGAGATATAGTGTTTACTGATGTATACATTTGATCAAATTAGTCAGCTATAATCATATAAATATCTCATTGTTTTGCAAGCCATCAATATTTTCTTCTTGGCCGTATAAATATCAGCAACTTTACCAAATTGCTTTGTTGTAATCAATAGAATGTGCTCCTTATTCTCCTATATTTATACTATGTGATCCATAAAAGCATCAGGTATGATACTCATGAAAAAAATATAAAAATCAGATAAAAATATAAAAAATAAGATTAAAATTATGCAAAAAAAATTTCTCAATATCTTGACTTGTTCATTTTCAAAACATTAGATTTTTCTGACTGTTTCATATGTCAGTTTACTGGCTTAGGATATAGTGAGTAATGTGTGGAAATTGTATTTTCTTTGCTTTGGTTTTTGTATAATGTTACAGTTATTCATATATGAAGTAGTGTTTTGCTGCAACTGAGTAAATATCCTTGTTTTCTGCAGTTTTTCCCGAAAGAGAAGGCCCGCGTGATCTCAGAGGAGGAGAAGAACTTCCAGGCCTTCGTCAGCCTGCGCATGGCCCGTGCCAATGCCCGTCTGTTCGGCATCCGTGCCAAGAGGGCAAAGGAGGCCGCCGAGCAGGACGTCGAAAAGAAGAAATAAACTTGCTTTGTAAGGAACTGTCGAAATAAATGTCTAAAAAATCTTTTGTCTTTGGAGTCATTTCTTGGAAACCTTTATATAATGAATGTAGACTTGGCTGGTTTGTGGAGGATGTTTAAGTGCCGGTCTGACGTTTGGTGAAATGCATAATCTGTTCTCAAACTCAAAGGGACTTTTTATTTGATAAACTTCAGCATTGCGCAAGTCATTTGTTTAATTGCTACAGATAAAACGTACACTGAATCTATCACATAAGTATCTTCCAAATACAGTAGTGGCTAATAGTAATGTCTGGGGGGGGGGATATTTCTGACTGTACAATTTTGATTAAACAATCAAAATATGATTTTTTTTTATTATTATTATACATATAAGGGGGAAGGCCAAATTTAGGTAAAATTGGCTTTATGCACAGCTGCACTACTTGCTGAACTTAAGCTAGCTCCTTGTTTCCTGTCTGCCATTATTGGGCAAATTGATTAATCCAGGTGTGCTTGACCTCAGTAGTCACGGCAACAATAATCAGACACACCTGAATTAATCAAGTTCGGCCAATAACTGCAGACAGGAAACAAGGAGCTGGCTTAAGTTCAGGAAGTAGTGCAGCTGTGCATAAAGCCAATTGTCCACATGTGTCATTACATCACAAATATATGATTTAAAGTACAGCTAAGTAATATGATTGACCGAGCAACGTGTTTTTGGCAAGTGCTGTATAAACTGAGGTGAGTGAGAATGCTCCTTGTTCTCCAGAAGATGGCAGTGTTGGCCCACATGGCTGTTTATTTGCTCTGAAGTGTTTTACGGTTTGTTAAAGGGATGTTTCACTTTGAAATTAATGTTTTTTGGTATGTTTTCGCTTACATCAAGGTAACCGTTCATGTCTCATAGACGTGTAATGGAGGTCTATGGTCACCACCTCAAAGCATGCACAGAGAAGTCCAAATAAAACATGATGCGATGACTCGTAAATGTAAGTACACATTGATGGCCTAAGACAAGAAACAAAATATTTATATAATTTTTACCTCTTACCACAGCCACGTCCAAGTGATCTGAGGGCGCGGGTGCTTTGTGGCTGTGGTTTCAAGAGGTAAAAACGATATAAATACTGTTAGTTTTCTCACACAAACTGCTCGTTTCATGTCTTAGGCCATCAAAGTGTACTTACATTTATGAGTCATTAAATCATGTTTAATTTGGACTTCTCTGTGCATGCTCTTTGAGGTGGTGACCATAGACCTCCATTATATGACTGACAGACAAGAACGGTTTGACCTAAAAATATCAAAATTGAAACTACTGTGGAAACAAAGACACCAACATCTTGGATGCCCTTGACGTATGCTAAAATGATGAACGATGAACGGTGCTCATACATACCAGAGGTTGCACTCTTCCAGTGGTCATTAGACAGATCAGTGTATTATGTTCACAGACCTGTGTTAGTGAGACTATAATCCACCCAGAAAATTGATATTGACGCTAAAGGGTGCCATGCGTTGGATATAGACGAAATGTCAAGGCGTCAATACATGACGCCTTGGGATGAGAACGTGTTGGAAATTCAAAATATGTATTAATTTCTTCTGCAGAACACTGATGTTTTGAAGACTGTTGGGTACCATGCAACATTGGAGACCATTGGTTATATTGTATGGATGGAAAAAAACAGACATCATATATTGTTCCTGAGGGTGTGAAAATGACAGAATTTGCATTTTGGGGTGAACTATGCCTTTAAGGATTTGTCATAGCTGCTGGATTTGCATATTGTGTTCGTAACCTGAGGTGAAGCCTTGATTAACTCCTGTCAGCACAGTTTAAGTGTGGAATTTGTCTTCATGATGGAAATACAAATCAGTTACCTAGTGTTTTAATCATGTTTAGAAATGCCAGCATACTCTGTCCTGGAGTGATGTCATCATGGTGTCCAGTGGAGGTTTTTGGTGGATGAATGGGCTGTGGGTGTATTACGCAAACATCGCATTCCCACATCATATCTATATGTGGTGGTGTGCGAGTTTGATCTACTCGGTTCCTGCCAGGACTGTGTTTTGGTGCTATCTTTATTTGTATTGCGTAACCTCTGTTTTATCAACTTGTTTCTCTGAGGCTTTAGTGATGGTTTGATTGAGGAAAGGACAAGAATTGGGTAATGGTTCATGTCCCAGTAGTGCTGTTGATCTGAAACTGAAGCTCAAGTGGCCTAAATCAATTCTAAGGGAAGTAAAGGGACTGTTATAACTGGGACTGTCCACAATCAATGAACCATTGGGAATTTTCCATGAAATCCTACATATCACGGATCAATAAACCAAAAATATCTTGACCTGCAGGAGAGATGAGTGGGAAGATAATCACGTATGAGGTTACATAAGAAATGGAGAATGTGTCCTGTAGTTACCCTTGATTTCTGAATCAGTGATGGAAAGACTCGATTTAGACCATTCAAATACTGGAGAATGGTACAATAAATATTAAAAAGTCCATTAGGACAAATTTTTCTAAAACAGTAGCCTAGATAGGCAACTAACTCAGAACTCTCAGGAAGAATATATGATCTAAGATTGTGACCCTGCCTTTAAGGAAACATTCCATTTTTTTCAAGCATTATGGGAATGTTACTTTGAATGTTCTCTGTAGCTACAATCTGAAACAGCAATATAAAAAAAAACTGTTAGACGTACGTCAAACTAAAACATTGCAGAAAAAGACAACCTAAATAAGTTTTTTTTCTGGTACTGTTTTGAGAATATTAAATAGGCTATGACTTTGTACAAACATTTTGTTTTTGGAAGAACTTTTGTTCATAGCTTTGAGAGAACATTGCCCGAATGTTAGCTCTGAGAACGTTAACTGCGTTTATGCCGTGCGTCACGTGACCAAACCGGAAAACGGGTCTCATCGCATCCGCTTGTCAGAGAAAGTGTTAACGGCCGTAAGAACTGACTACGATATCTATGGATATTTAAGGTAATCAGCTAACCTACTAGTTCACTTTGTTATTGGCGTTTTATTCCATTTAAATATCTAAACGTTACTGTGAAGAAGAAAAAATATAAAACGTTTAAATATCAATCTGCACATGTGAGGGATATTGGTTATGCTAATCTTTGCTCGCTCCTTTTAAGTTATCTTGAGTAAAACCGCAAAAAATTTCATGAAGCACATACAAAAGACCAGGGGCCTCATGTATAAACGTTGCGTACGCACAAAATGGGCATAGAAATATGCGTACGCATTTTTCCACGTGCACATCGGGATTTATAAAAAATAAACTTGGCGTAAATAAGTGCGCACCATAAGGATGCTCTTGACCGTGCGTACGCACTCTTTTAGAAGATTATGGGTTTTGGCGACACCGATGGTGAGCTAGAGTCAAATGTCTTTTTGCTTACTATTAGACAGAGAATCTAAAGAAAATTATACATCTACAGAAAGATAATACAAATATAATTTCACAAACCTATCATCACTTGAAGCAAACATCCATCCCTTCATAAAATGACCGCGCCAGCACGCGCGTTGGGCCGTTTGGTGAAACTGACGCACATATAGCCTATAATCTAACGGCAGATGGAGTAAAACCGTAAATCTTCATTATGAGTCCAAATCATAAATACAGTCCATATTCACAATAATAGTTTAAATAAATAAAAGAATGGTACTATGTTTTACTTCTGATATAAACATTTAGATTAAATATGCCATTCTCATTAATTGAGTTAAACTCTTAAACTACATAAAATCATTACTGAGAAGTTACAATATATATATATATATATATATATATATATATATATATATATATATATATATATATATATATATATATTCAATAAATAGAAATAGACCTATTTGTTGTGGATACATTGCTTTTGAACACTTTTCTTCTGGCATGCTGTGTTTTAATGTTAACTAGAGATTGTCTGAGAAAACTGTTTCGTGCAAATAATGCACAACCATGTCTATCTCTTTCCATTAAAATATAAATCAATTAAAAATACTATTTGGCCAGTGGAAAAGATTGAGAAAAACTTTCTCTGAAATGTATTTAACACTATTTGATTTATTCATTCAAAAACAAGGCAAGGATATAGGCTACAAAAAAAAATGTTTGTAATAATGTGACGGCACATCCGCATTTCATATTTTCCTAACGTCTTGTACCGTTAAACTTGGTATCACGTGGATGAATAATCATATGCAAATGATATGCAGATGAGGATATGCATAGTAAAACTAGGCGTTGTAATCTCCATATATGGTTATTTCGGGGAGGAGACGCACGTGCGCATAATCTCCCGCTGACTGGGATTTATAAAGTGAATTCTGCGCAGGTTCTGGCGTACGAACGGTTTTATAAATCTGAAAACTTTTGTGCGTACGCAAATTCTGCCTTATGTGCGTACGCACACTTTAAGGATGAAATCTACGCAAAGTTTTATGCATGAGGCCCCAGGACCGGAAGCGATGCGACCTGTTTTACAGAGAATGCGGAAGTAAGTTGTGCATAAAGCCTATTAAGATTCCATAAAGAACAATGCGTTGAAAGTGCTACATAGAACCTTAAAGGGATAGTTCACCCTAAAATTAAAACTCAGCCTGTCGACACATGCTGTATATTTGAAATGTTCTGGGGGCAGGGCCTGAAATTAACTTTTTCGACCACCGGCCACTCTGGCAGGTGGATTTAAAAATTCACCTGCCACAGAGACTTTTTACCAGCCACTTTTTTTCTTTTTCTTTTTTTGCCTCATATTTTGCCTCAGCCAAAAAATGGCTCGTAAAAAGAACAATATTGTGAAATTCTTTTAAAAAAAAAACCCCGGGAATTTCACAATATTGTTCTTTCACTTGTAAGAATACACATTTAAGTGCTGTCAAGTAATAATAATAATAACTCTAAGAACATACATTTAAAAAAATTTTTTTTGTTCATTGATTTTGACACTCACACAATATATATACAGGCTATACTATAGTATATACTCAACAGATAGACATAGCCTACCGCAGCTCGTAAGTAAACAAATCACACGCGGCTGTGTTGATGGCTGATTTAGTCACATAGACAGATCCTGACAGCTTTAGTTACAGCATTCAGGAACTATGAACTCAATTAATATTGTTATTACTGGTAAAGTTACCGGGTACCGGATATTTTCTCACTGGTTCCCAACTCCCAACATGCACAGTTACACACGCACACACATCTGTGCAACTGTCATTGTACTGCAGCCTACGTCAGCGTTACATTATCTCATCCCATCTCACCAACAGTTTAATACTCGCACATCAAAACGTAGTCAGAAAAGGGCCTCATCTTCTTCTGATCGCATGAACGTTACGAAACAACAGTCGCTGACGCTGTCATAAATCAGCCGCTCACGAACCTTGCCATTGCCGCCAATTGTCCACTTTATATTAAAATGTCTTCTTTTACTTTTCTTTTTCTCATCCTCATCGTTTTGTTGGCTGTTTGTTTCAGCTGGCCTCTTTACCTCAGTAATGTGCCGCCACATTTTAGTTAAAGTCAAACGCAATGGCGGACTTAGTTGAAATGTAAAAATCCTAATGAATCACTCAATTCTCATTGGCTACCTACCTGCCAATGTGGCAGGTAGATTGACAGTGTTACCCGCCAATAGAAAAATTCACCCGCATTTGGCAGGTGGTCGGGTGTTAATTTCAGGCCCTGTCTGGGGGTATACCGTATACA